AATGCTCGCCCCACGGTGGGCGCCAAATTGTTTGAGCCTAGAATGTTCTAGGCGGTTTGTGGAAGCGAGCAAGGCGTCTGTTCCAGATGATGGGGGACTCCAAGCTCCTGCAAAACAAGGGTCCGTGGGCGGTCACCCCGGACACCCTCCGATGCTTAAGTTAAAGAGGGAATATGAGTTTTTTGTAATGTTTAGAGAGAGAGAGAGAGTAGTTGGTTTACCATCAATGTAGATAGGAATGTATTTATAGTGGTTTGGGCTGGACTTCGAGCATTAAATGCCATGTCAGGCATCCTAAATCAGGCTCTGCTTTATCTAGACCGCCTACGGCGGCAATTAATGCTTAGTCCTGCAGTGTTCGAGGTGAGTATCCTCGGAGGATCTCCCATTCTGCCCGTAACGGCTCTTTGTGTCAGGCGTCCTAGTACTTGTCCTGTCCTAGTATGGCCGCCTTCCTTTCTCTGTTCCCCATGCGCTACGTTTCCCCAGATGCACTCTCCTGGGCCCTTTGAACGGGCCTTACTCCTTGGGCTTCCAAGCCCAATGCCGCTCAGCTATGGCCCAACAGTTACAAAATTGTTTTTCTTAGTAAATATATGACGGGAATTGGGGATCGTATCTCAATTCTCATATCGTGCAACAACAACAATACAACAAGCCGTCCAAAATACTAGTTTTAAGTGTAATTACCGTTTGTCATTTTCATTCTTAATACATTTTTCTCAATTATCAAAGCATTTTTATTCATTTCAATAGTATTTCCTATTTAACTCACAACTATTTGATCAATGAGCCTTTCTTGTTTTCGTGTGTTATAGGTGGTTGGTGTAATAATTATGCGTTAGAAGACTTCGTGGAATACGACGCTAGGCCTTCCTTAGGATTTATTACTTCGATCTACAAATCATGAATCAAGTTTTTGACACTGTTTCCAGAGATTTCTAATCATATATGAAAGCATCTAGCCATCTTGAGTCTTTCTTTAGTTTTAAGTTTCTTTTGTTTTGCAAAATATTGCATGAGTTCCGTATGTACTAGAAGAAAAAAGTGAAAAATCTAAAGATCGTGCAAGAGATAGTTCAAGAAGGTGGAGCATCGAGTTCAACCATCTTGAAGATTAAGGAAGGGGCATCTAGCTTAAGAGGAGAAGAGACCTCAAGCCCCACCAATTTCGAGTAAAGCTTGGGAGAGGAGAACAAGGTTTACGAAGAAAACTTCTATTCGGAGGAAGAAGGAGCATCTTCAACTTCTTCAGGACCAACGATGGCTGGAGAAGAAGGAAAAAGACAAGTGGCCATTCCACTTACTCTCTATTAGTATTCAAGAAGAAGAGCATCCAACATCACCTCAAGCATTACTGTGCTACCAACGACTATAGAAATCAGAACTCAACTTATCTAGATGGTGCAACAAGTTGGGAGATTTGGAGGAATGAATAATGGTGATTCGGTGAAACACTTGAAGACATTATTAGAGATAATCGATTCCATACCAGAAGATGAAGCTACCAAAGAAGTAATTCGAATACTAACCATTCTCTCTTGGAGGAGGAGCAAAACAGTGGCTTGACTACCATCCACCAAACACCTTCACCAAATGGGAGACCCTTGCACAAGCATTCATCGAGGGGTACTATCCACCATGAAAGGTGGAGGAGCTTAAAGACGAGATTACTCAATTTCAACAGAAGGAAGGAGAGACTTTCTATGAATCTTATAGGATATTTCAGGGGTATATCAATGCATGCCCCCATCATGGATTCACACAACAGCAAATTGCAAAGTATGTTTCCAAAGGCCTCGATCAAGACACAACGATGATGGTAACCAGGGCCGGCCAAGAGGGTGTGCCGGCCCGCCCTCCGGCACAGGGCCTCTGAATATTAGGGGCCTCCACTCATATTTGTTAGTTACCGATCGAATATTGCAGGTTGTTTTTTTAGTGTATGATTGATAGATTATGAATATGGTGACGAATTTAATAGATAATTTTAGCTATAATAACAATTGAAAAGGATCTCATGGAGAATACGAAAATCAGAGAGATAATAGATAATATTAATTTAAACAATAAAGAAAGATATTGCATTTTGAATAATGGTATTATAATCATTTTAGTTTTATTATAGTTAAAAGTCAATTTGGATAATGTCTCAATTTTAGAATAGGGCCTACACGATCCATTAGATAGACCCGCACCCACCTCTCGATCAATTTATATTATTTTCATTTCTCCATTCAATTTTTGCTCTATATCCATTTTTTGTTCCCTCCAGATTTACTTTTCTCCCTCCATGCTAGGAGTGAGAATTTGGTCTTGGTTTCTTGGTCAAACAGGAAGTGAGATTGTTTATTCATTTTGAAATCATTTTATGAACTTATGTACTTTATTTAATAAATTTAATGAGAAAAAAATTAGGGGCCACATGTTAAATTTTCGAACAGGGCCTCCAAATATCATGGGACGGTTCTGAATTGGTAACCCAGTCGGCCGGTGGGGATTTAACAACAATGAAGAGAGTGTAATGCTTGGAGCATTTTGCAGCACTAGTAAGAAAGCCGAAGAACTAATCCAAGCGTCCATCAATGATTTAACCATGGAAAGTTGCTTGAGAAAGGGAGGATGATGTTGCTACCCTCTATGTATACATGAAGAAACTGACCCAACAACTAAGAATGACTTCAGTGGAGCCAGAGAATGGACAGTTGAATCCTTGTTCATTTGTGAAGCATGTGGAGAAGAAGGCCATGACGGATTCAACTTATATATCCAACAAGGGAAATGACATTTTGATGCCAATTACATAAATCAAAGCTATCAATTGAGACCTCAACAATGAAGATATCCTCTTTATAAAATATTCCATCAACCTCGCATGTTGTATGGTCAATGGCTTGCTCCGGGAGGAAAGAAGCCCGAGGACTACCACAACATCACTCTACCAATGCACCATATGTTCATGAAGTGTAGAAACTAACGATTGCGGAAGTAAAAGAGAACACCGAGGTTTACGTGGTTTCCCCGAAGATCGGGACTAGTCCACGGAGAGCATAGCTCTCAGGAAAGATGTCAATATGGTGATGAGTTTCAGTACAGAAGTCTGCTCACACTCTCTTGCCTTATAGGGTTCGGCTAGCTACCCTCTTATACCCTTTCTACTAGGTCACGGGTACAAGGAGAACAATTAATTACAAAATGGTCCAAAGTAAAACCAATTAATTACAAACCAGTCCAATACTCCCCCTCAAGCTGAAGCATGGAGATCACGAATGCCAAGCTTGGATAACAAAGAATGAAACTGGTCTGTCCCCAAGGCCTTGGTGAAGATGTCCGCGAGCTGAGAGCGGGTACCGACCTTGCAGGGAGAAATCTCGCCGGAACTGACACGTTCACGAACAAAGTAACAGTCCATCTCAACGTGCTTAGTGCGCTCATGGAAGACTGGATTAGCGGCAATATGTAGAGCCGCCTGATTATCACAGTAGAGAGGAGTAGGCACATGCTGAGGAACCTGGAGCTCACCAAGCAAGAAATGGAGCCACAGAACTTCGCTAGTAGTGCTAGCCAGGGCCCGGTACTCGGCTTCTGCAGAAGAACGAGCCACGACACGCTGTTTCTTAGCACGCCAGGAGACAGGGGCGCCGCCAAGGTGGATATAGTACCCGGTGGTGGATCTCCGGCTAAGCTGATAACCAGCCCAATCAGCATCACTGAAGGCGGTGAGCTCAAGCGAACCAGCAGAGGGAAGAAACAAACCTTGACCGGGCGCAGCTTTGAGATACCGGAGCACACGATGAGCAGCAGCCATGTGATCCGGACTAGGTGACTGCACAAACTGACTAAGCAAGTTCACAGAGTAGGCGATGTCTGGGCGAGTGATCGTGAGATATAACAGACGCCCAATTAGCCGACGATAGGCATGAGTGTCGGCCAGCTGCTCCTCTGTAGGGCGAGTCAGGTTATGGTTCTGTTCCATCGGAAAACCACTCGGCCTAGCAACCATCATCCCGGAATCGGCAAGAATATCAAGGGCATACTTGCGCTGGCTGAGCACAATGCCATCGGGGGATCGCGCCACTTCAATGCCAAGAAATTACTTCAGGGTACCCAAATCCTCGATGCTAAACCGGTGATGCAGGAAGGCTTTGACCTGAGAAATGACATCAATAGCAGAACCTGTGATCACGACGTCATCAACATAAATCAAGATCGCCACAAAGGCGCCATGGCGACTATACTGGAACAATGAGGGATCGGCTTTGGAAACCCGGAATCCAAACTCCAAAAGTGCCTTAGTGAATTTGGTGTACCAATTCCTGGAAGCCTGGCGAAGACCATACAACGACTTGCGAAGGCGACAAACCCTGTGATCACCGTCACGACTAAAACCCTGAGGTATCTTCATGTACACCTCCTCGTCTAAATCACCATGGAGGAATGCGTTGTTTACATCGAGTTGATGTAAGGGCCATCCTTGCTTAGCCGCAACATCCAGAAGAACTCGAACGGTAACTAGCTTGGCCACCGGGGCGAATGTGTCGTGGAAGTCAATCCCTTCCAGTTGAGTGAAGCCCTTCGCCACCAGACGAGCTTTGTATCGCTCGATAGTACCGTCCGGCAAGAACTTAATCTTGTAAACCCACTTGCAATCGATTGCACGTTTCCCGGGAGGCAAAAACTCCAATGTCCACGTCCCTTGGGCTACCAACGCATCAATCTCGCGTTGCATGGCCGCCCGCCAGTGTGCATATTTAACAGCCTGTGCATAAGTCCGAGGCTCGAAATAGTCGGACACAGAAGCCAAGAAAGCACAATGGCGGTCAGAAAAACGATGGTAAGTGACGTGATTAGAAATGGGAAATTGCACAGTCGAGGCAGAGGGCAAGTTTACCTCATAATCATCCAAATGAGCTGGGGGGCGACGTTCACGCGGAGGATTCCGTCGGGGAGGGGCGGCCAGGTCAGGAGCTGGAGACGTGGGCGTGGTCTCTGCATGCTCCATGCATGGGGACGCACGTGAGGAGGATGTGGCCGTTCATGGCGACGTAGGTGATGCAGGCGAGGGCGTTGGAGGTGACGCGGGCGGATCCAGCGGGGAGGAAGGATGCGGCGATGGGGAGCCGTCGAGAGGAGAAGTGGTGCTCTCGGTAATGGGGTCTTCAGCAACAATGGGTTCTTCAGCAACACGCTGCCCCACCTGATCAGCAGGCTCCATATCACCATCAATAAATGGATGGTCTGCTACTAATGGTTGGTGAACTGGCGTGTGCGGCGCTCCCGTGGCCCGAAGATGGAAGGGAAAAACATTCTCAATGAATTGCACATCACGAGAAACTAAAACTTTCCGAGTACGCAAATCATAGATGCGATACCCCTTCTGAGTGCCCGGATAACCAAGAAAAACACCTGCTCGACCACGCTCGGTAAATTTATCGAGGCCATGATGATTGTCCTTCGCATAAGCGAGACAGCCAAAACTGCGGAGATGGGAATACGAAGCAGGACGTCCCAAAAGTATCTCAAACGGAGTCTTCCAGCCAATGGGCGATGAGGGTAACCGGTTGACGAGATATGCAGCTGTCAAGACACAATCACCCCAAAAACGCACAGGGAGCCCGGCATGAAACATGAGAGCTCGGGCCGTCTCCAACAGATGGCGGTGTTTGCGCTCAACGACACCATTTTGCTGTGGTGTGTCCGTACAAGAGGTTTGGAGAATAATCCCATTTGCTTCGTAGTAATCACGTAGGGAATTAGTTTGAAACTCCAATCCGTTGTCGGCTTGGATACGACGCACTAGCTTGCCATACTGTGTGTGAACCAAGTGGAAATACATCATAAGATAGCGTTCAACATCCGATTTGTGCTTCATTAAGTAAACCCACGTGGAACGACTGAAATCGTCCACAATAGTCAAGAAAAAACGAGACCCATCGAGGGAGGATGTCCGATAAGGCCCCCAAATATCGACGTGGATCAAATCAAAACACCCAGCAGTTTTGATCATGCTATTCGAGAAAGGAGTTCGGCTCTGTTTAGCCCTCAAACAAGAATCACAATGAACGGAATCGGAAGGGGAAAAATTACAATCCACAACAGCTCTCAATCGGCTCTGCTTATCCAGTCTCGGATGCCCCAACCTGGTGTGCCACAGAGTAGATGAATCCAGCTGAGTCGTCACTTTATGTGCTTGACCAAGCCGCATCCCATCACACCGAGGCAAGTAGTACAGGCCATCCTTCAGCTTACCCACTCCAATCAGCGTCTTGGAAGGTAAGACCTGAAGAACGCAGAAATCACGTAAGAAAGTTACCGCCACATTATGATCACGAGCTAAACGGCTAACAGACAAGAGATTGCACTTGAATGCCGGCACATGGAGTACATTTCGAAGCTGAACATGACTAGAGAGTCTAACATTTCCAATCCACACAACCGGAACACCTGTTCCATCCGGAATCCGAACCTGTGAATGCCCCCCTGCCTTACCATAGAGTCCATCCAACTAACATCGCGAACTATATGTTCATTACAGCCTGAGTCTATCAACCACATGTCGAGTTCAGGAGTATTACCCGCCATATGAGCCGTTGGTGCTGAATGATTGTCGTTGTCCGTCGTTGATAAGAAGTCTCTAAGTGCCCCAAACTATGCTGCCGTTAAGCCCGGAATAGGGGAAGTGGAGTCCGGCTCCACATGAGCTGCTTTGGGTCGCCGAGGAGCCTGAGTATCAGCTGGCTTGGCTCGAGGGTGACCAGCTGGATAACCTACCAGCTTATAGCAAGTATCTCGCGTATGCCCAAGATGGCGGCAATTTGAACAGCGGGGGCGATCCTTATCGTCCCGCGGGCGCTCCTGCTCATCCGGAGAACGACCTTCACGAAATTCTGCCGCTGCTTGCACTTGAAACGCAGCAGTGTCAACAACAGGGCGCCTTGCGGTGGTGAGAAGCCGATGTTGCTCCTCCGCCGTGACCATTCGGTATGCATCGGCGAGCGTGGGAGTGGGACGCGTGCTAAGGATTTGCGACCTTACCACAGAGTAAGCATCATCAAGCCCAAGGAGGAACTCGAAGAGCTGCTCGGTTTCCTGCTGCTCGTGGAACTGCCGAGCCCAACCGCATGAGCAACCAGCACATGTGCAACGGACGACTCCCCCTATCGACAGCTTCTCGTCCCAGACCGCACGTAGCTGTGTGTAGAAAGCGGAGACGGAAAGTTTATCTTGCCGAAGGGTGCTGAGTTTGCGGCGGAGCTCATAGGCCCTTTGCGCCGTCCCTTTGCTGAAGCGGCACTGCAAGTCTACCCAGATGTCTCGCGCCGTCGATGCCGTCTGAACACTGTTCCGAACCTCGCGTGTCATGGCTGTCTTCAACCAGCCTTTAACAGTCGCATCACAACGATCCCAGGCGTCACGATGCGCAAACGAGCCAGCTTTGTCACGAGGGAAGGATCCATCCACGAAAACAAGCTTGTTTTTGGCGATTAGGGTTTCTGCGATGTCATTGACCCACTCTCCATAGTTGGAGTCGTTCAGCAAATCACTACCGAACAATTGCGCAGGATTTTCTGAGGGATGCAGATAGAGGGGTGAGCTGATCGGGATGATGCAAGGCTCAGAATCGACCATAGGCGTGCCGCCGCTAGACTCCTCTTCCGATTTACCCATGATGAAGGAGATTTAATGAAGCTGAATCTCACAGCTCTGATACCATGTAGAAACTAACGATTGCGGAAGTAAAAGAGAACACCGAGGTTTACGTGGTTTCCCCGAAGATCGGGACTAGTCCACGGAGAGCATAGCTCTCAGGAAAGATGTCAATATGGTGATGAGTTTCAGTACAGAAGTCTGCTCACACTCTCTTGCCTTCTAGGGTTCGGCTAGCTACCCTCTTATACCCTTTCTACTAGGTCACGGGTACAAGGAGAACAATTAATTACAAAATGGTCCAAAGTAAAACCAATTAATTACAAACCAGTCCAATATGAAGCACAATGACAAAAGAAGTCAGGTCCACCTGGATTTGGCAATCAACTTCAATACAAAGGGCAATTAGAAAGTGTCTTTAATCTGCATTTAATCTGCAACCCACCATGTTCGAGAACTTAGTGGCAATAGTGATAGGGCTGCAAACAAGCTATAAGAATATTGAAAGACAACTTGAACTCCTCATTAATGCTCAACCTCAGAAGCCTATGTTTTGATTCCTATTGTCTGTGCATGGATGTTTATGTTTCGATGCTTATGTGATGACCATTGTGGTTTACATAGTATGAATGCTTCTTTATCACCGATGTTTTATGATTATATTATATGCTACTATATGCATTGTGCTCAGTATTACCTAGATTGATAAGAAATTGCCCTATATTGACCTACTTGATGCCACGCGAGTCTAGAAGGTATGATCAACCATCTATGCTTCGAGTAGTATCAATGTTTAATTGTCATATCATTGATTATGGTTCATATAAGTCCATAATTAATCATGTTCTATCCTAACTTCCTTATTCTTCATTAACTAGGTGATAACATGAAGCAAAAGCACGCATTAGCTAGTTAAGTTTCTATCGGAAGAGGCACATGCACAGGTAAAGAATGACTTTAGTGGAAGGATGGAGTAATGTTATATATGAATCATTGATGCATGTTGTGATTGAGCCCCAATATGCATGTTAATACCTGAGTTTGCTCTCTTATACAATAACATATATTTACTTTTATGCATATATAAATTGAAAAACACATAAACAACTTTATTATTCTTGCTTGTTAGTTGAATAAAAACCCCTAAATGATTTTATTGTCTTTGTGTGAGCCACTGATGGTATAGTGTGAATAACGATGCATTAGAAGACCTTGTAGAATATGACCCTTTGACATAATAGGATTATTATAACTTCGATATATATCACATCACCATATCATGAAGAATTGATTTGGTTTGCTAGCGCTTGGTTCTTAAGGTTGTTAAAACACAAGCATAACTGTTTAGTACAATAAGTGTTTGTTTCGAGAGTGTTCGTGTTTTTAATGTTGTTAAATATGTAACGTTTCCTCTTCCTTTCAAAATATTTAATGTTAATAATATTTAGTAAATCTAATCTCCTGCTAGGCTAGGCTAGGGTATCATACCCTCTCCTGTCTCCGCCTCCTTAAACAACGATGGAGCAAATTTCACGAGAATGTTGAGTCCTAAAGAGCTGTGTATGGACCTTAGGAAAATACCTTGTCAACAAATTGTATGCGATATCCATAATTAACAAGGAATAATTAAACCTTAACCGACAAGACGACTATTGAAATACAATGAAAGAGTTATTGTAAGAATCAAAGTTAACATAGTCAATGTGCAGCAATCCAACAATGTCTCACTTCTTAGAAAGTCACTATGGGGTCGTTTGGATGAGAAATTTTAACTGATCAATCTGTGCCAATTATTTCATTTTGAGACAATCCGGCAAAATTGAGTTGTATGTCAACACAAATTTCAGATGAAATAAGTATGCATGAAAAATTTGAATTGACTGATTTTGAAACAATTACAAATTTACAATTGTTTGGAGTGGGATAGACAATTAGAATTGACTAATTTTTTAATAATTAATCAAATTATCTTATTTTACAATGATGAATTAATTATCTTATTTTACAATGGATTCATCCAAATCCAAACAATCCAATATATGTTTGCAAAAGCAAAATCGGGCGGACTAGAAAGAAGTCCTTCGGTGATACAGAAAAGGCCCAGTCATCTTGGGTTCAGACTTCAAACCAAACGCTGTCGTACGATTCTCTATTTTCTCTTTTCAACTTTCGCGCCCAACTCAGGGATGTGGGGGGAAAACAAAAAACAAACCCCGCCCGCAAAATTTTTAATTTCCCAAAATAAAAAAATTTAAAAAGCAAGCGAAAACTGGGAAAAACTCATCCATCCGGATCTATCCACGTCATCAATCCGCGTCTAAACAAACTCTCATCTGGACCGTCGACCAAACACCATCAACGGCCAAAACAGCGTTCCCCACACCGCTACGCGGATCGATGCTCTCAGCAAACCCATTTCCCTCTCTTATAAATTAACTTGACCCACAAATCTTCCCCACTCACTCTCACACCTTCCATCTTCCCCACTCTCCTCAAATCAATTTGCTCTCTGCTTTCCCTCAGATCTAGGGTTTTTCTGTTCTCCGTCCGTCGATCTCCGAAGGAAGAATGTCTGGGCGCGGCAAGGGAGGCAAGGGGCTCGGAAAGGGAGGAGCCAAGCGCCATCGCAAGGTCCTCCGCGATAACATCCAGGGTATCACGAAGCCGGCGATTCGCCGTCTTGCTCGCAGAGGCGGCGTGAAGCGTATCAGTGGGCTGATCTACGAGGAGACTCGCGGAGTTCTGAAGATCTTCTTGGAGAACGTCATCCGCGACGCCGTCACCTACACGGAGCACGCCCGCCGCAAGACGGTCACCGCGATGGACGTCGTGTATGCTCTGAAGAGGCAGGGAAGGACTCTTTACGGTTTCGGAGGTTAGGAGGAAGGGTAGATGATTGGGGGAATGGACGGCCGGTCGGAGAAGTCTTGCTGTCAAGAAAGAAAGGTTCTTATTTTGGCGGTGGCGGAGTTTAATCTCTTTAGTCTAGGGTTTCCCTATCTTTTGTGTGTTTCCTTACCATGTAATTAGGGTTTTAGGGATTTCATTTTAGCAGTGAACGTTTGTAATTCATGCTTGCTTTGGATTGCAATTCTATTAACAACTTGGTTGTTTGCTCAACTTGTGTTCTTCCCTCTGCCCTTCTATTTGCAAAGATTACTTATCTACATCAGCCGATCTTCTACAGTGCTTCCAATGCCCATCCTATCTATCTTCATGCATCTGGGAAACGTGGGTGTGTTTTGTTAATTGGTCTTCACTGATGATTCTGGTGATAATTTTCCTATTGGATATGCAACAATGCCATAGCAAACTAGGGCAGATTTTACATTCCGTTTGCGCTTTATGAAATCTTATTCAACAGTTCATTCATTCTGCAAACTATCTTGTTCAATGGTTGCTACTATGCCAGCTGCTATGTAGTAATTACGCAGATTCTTCGTTTCGTTAATGTTGTATGAAATTTTATTCAACAGTTCAGTCATTCTTCAAACTATCTGGTTGAGTGGTTGCAACTAAGCAGCTAAGCGATCTGGCAACCTGGCTGATTGTTCGTTTCGTAAGTGCTGTATGAATTTTCTTAATCAGTTCCTTCATTCTGCAAATTCTCCGGTTGTGTGGTTGCAACTAGGCAGCTGCTGCGTATATGCAACTATGCTAGCAACTAGGCAGATTGTTCATTTGGTTAGCACGGTGTGAAATCTTATTCAACAGTTCATTCAGTCTGCAAACTATTAGGTTGAGTTGTTGCAACTAGGTAGCTACTGCGGAGATCACTTGTCTAGCATAGGTTTCCTTGTTTCTTTGAGTTCTGTCATTCTCCAGTTATCTACTACATAATTAGGGTTTTTAGTGATTTCTTTTCTAGTAGTAATCTATACTGTAAATCATGCTTGCTTTGAATTGCAGATCCTGAACGAATTGGGTTTCGCTCAACTTCTTATCTTTTCTCGCATAAACTAATCCATTCCAAAACTAATCTCTTGTTGCATAAAAATCAACACCAAATTCTCAAATGGCTTCTGAACATTGAGCAAAACACCTTCATCACAATCATATATGACCCCTTAATCACTGGCAATCACTCCACATTATGGGCAGCAATAATAAGTTCAACTGCACCTGCTGACAATATAGGAAGGAGATCTGTCTGTCATCGTGTCTACATCAACTCCACCCTATAAGTAATCTAGATTCACTAGAATGAAGAATCACTTGTAATTATCTGGCTATCAGCTACCCAAAATTCAGTAACCGATTGCGTATTTGGTCTGCATATCCCAGTACTCCTTGGTTTGCTTGACTATCAGTGCACGTTCTGCTACCATCCTTTCTTTCCAGTTCTCTTTGCACCTTAATGAAAGATGTTTGGATAAAACGAAAGAGAATTGAAATTTAGCTAGCTTGGTCAACCATTGGAGAGTAGATAAAGGTTGCTCCTGCATCTCTTACCTTTGTTTCAGCAGTAAGTCCAGTTCCATCATGTGCACCGCATTCTGATATACGCCAGCCTGCATTAAGGGAAGGTTGCTTTGGTCAATCAGAGACAGAAAAGTAGTCTGGTTTCTCAAACATATGCTCTAAATAACAGGTAAACTGTTTTTTTAGACCAGAGAAGTTTCACTCAAGATTGAGGTTCACTTATGTATCAGGAAAGTCTCACTACTGGAACAGAATGCCACATCAAACTGGTTTATGAAGCAAGAAATAACTGGGGGAAGGTTGGTGGTTATTTCTAAAACCAAAACCTAAAAACAAAATCCCAACAAAGGATTTACTTGGGTTTAGTCGGACATGTGCATTAATGCTCTAGGAAAAAGAACACCTATGCTAAACACTAAGCAGACACGCCAGTCACAGCTTTCATCAAATGGTTCGATATAGGTGTATACGACTAATTTAGAAGACGTGTTGATGTATGGTAATGGTGTGATTTTTGAGTTAGTACACAAAGATGACTTGCAACACAAGTTCCATAAAGGAAGAAGTGATCAAACTATGTGTAACTAAATAAAGACAGGTTGCTATATGCACCGACAAGTGATAGTAAGTGGCAAATCAGAATAAATCCAAGACCGGCGCACTCCAATATTGGTTAAAGCTAACCATTCAGGTAATGAATTATGCTAGAGAGGGATGACTGGATGAGAAATAACAAAGGTCCCAGAATGAGACAAACTAAAAGGCAAAAGCATATCCCCATCGCTATCATCACACAGAAAGATCCTTCTGCTACCAGCTATACTTTCTGGAAGTAAGTCTATTGGGCAATTATGTGCATAATTCAATGCCATAGCTATCACTATTTTGATAATCTAAAAGCAAGAAATGAGTTGATTAAGCCTCGAAAGTTTTGTTTAATTATAACCATGTAGAACAATGCTTGATGTCATGGATGGCTCACATAACATTTACAGTTCACTAAGCTGCCTGCATTCCTAAATGTACCTCTCTGCAGATTGAGCACTTTGAATCTGGAGTAGCTTCTTTTAGCCCAAGGAATATCGGTACAAAAGCAGCTGAGCAAGCACATGACTTGCAGAAAAGGTGGCCGCAGCTCAAAGCATATGGGTTAAAAACAGTGTCCTGCAAAGCAAAAACGAAATCCAATAGTATCAAACAAGTGTTAACCTCTGGTTAGCGTGGTGCATAGAACAGAGTAAAATGATTTCTCACCAAGCAAATGGCACATGTCAAACTGTAGTCTATGGCAACAGAATTTGGCAAGGTAAGCCTCATAACAGGTTCCGAAGCATCGAGATCACACGAAAAATTCCCACAGAACTCACTGAATCGTCCTCCATCTAATCCATTGATGTTCAAAAACAAAGCTCCCAGCTCAATCAACCAAGGCGATTGCAGAAGCTCAATGTGTTCGGCTCGCATCTTAGATTTGAAAACATTTCCATTCACAGAGCTATGCACCTAAAAGGAGCATCATAATCATCTATCATCATGAACATTATTCCAAACAAGTAAGAATTCAAATCACTTGAAGTAACGAAACAAGGGATTGGGGGGTTCGTTGCCTTATCATATTTCTTCAAGATTTTGCGTATGGCGATAGCATTCATGGTAACATATTCCATCAGCATCCTTCCTTCCTCCGCCATAGCTAACTTATCGTCTCGAAAGCACTGACGAAACCACAGTACATACCCTTGCATCCCCTTGGCCACGTGAAGGTGGAGGAGCCGCCTAGCTTTAGTGTTGAAGCATCCAGCTATGTCCGATACTTCTTTCATCAATTCGGAAAAGAACATTTGATCGCACACTACAAATTCAAACAAAAAAACCCCAAAATCAGCGTCTCAATATTCTTTACAATCACGAACAACCCTGAATTGCCAAGATAAGGGAACCGAGGAATCTGACCGGGGCAGGACTGGCATTGGCAGAATTGATTGAAACCGGGCCGGCTCTCTTGATCACGATCCTCCTCTTGTTCTTCTAGGCTGTCTCGGCAAACCTCCTGCGAGCCAAGCGAAGAGCGTCGGCATCGCTTTAGCACCTTCTTCAGGCGCTTGTACTCGACGTGGGAGCACTTCTCCAGGAATTTCTCCTGGTCTCCGTGTAGGTATTCTCGGAATGCTTCCCCGAATTTCATTCTCTGAAATGAAAAAGTGAAAACCCTAGGTGAAAGAACTCTTTACGGTACTTGTTTTCTGCGTCGCCGGCGAAGAAGGATGACGGAAAATCAAAATCGCAAGATTATCAGGGAAAATGGACTGCGCTGGGGATTGAAGATCGAAGCTTTCCGTGCGCGGATGGGTATTTGGAAGATGTAAGGGAACACGAAAGGGCAAAAGGCCCGCGCTTTTTCCGTGAGAGCTCTTTCTAAGCTGAAAATTGAAAAAGTGCAACGCTCTACAGAGTAATATTTTTCCCCATTTCGCTTTTACCGTTTTATGATTTTCTCTCAATTTTACTTTCGGCCTTGGGTTTGGTGGAGCACTTGAGAAAGTGGGCTGCTTTATTTCCAGCAGCACTACCACCGGTCACCACTAGCCCTATGCCAGGCAAACATGAAAGTCAACTGTGAACTGGGCCGAAGTATATATATGAATTTGAGAGTTTGTAGATTAGTTTGGGTAATGTACGATTATTGCTTTTTGATTGAACAAAAATTTCATTTTCACCTTAACCTTACCCATTTTAAATTCACATTTTTTCCTCTCCTTTTCTGTCAGTTTCGGTGGGGTAGCACGAACGATACGATACCCTTTTCAGAGGGAAACTTTCTTTCCATTTTTTTAGGTTCGTGGCCACCCGTGCATTGCATATAAGGTGAATTCCTCCGTGCTGGTTCATGATGACAACCCGTCCTTCACCTCTCGTTCATGATGACAAACCGTGCATATAAAGGTGCATTCCTAGAGTTCACATACCTACGCAACTAAGAAACTTAGCCAACCATGGGAAGGGTGTCCTGGGCGTTCATTGATGAAAATGAATACTCAAAGAGACCACATAAATCGACGATCGTAACAGAGTAAAGGGTCCCAATGACACATTTTTCACCACGGATTCTCCCTCGAAGGTGGCATCATTGTAAGTCAGAAGGGTTGCTCTGTTGGCAGAGTAATGAACTTTCCTTTACCTCTCGTCTCCCTCCCTTTAACTCTATCTCTAGAGCCTATTTACAAATTTTTCATTAGGCTTTACAAGGAAAGAAAACCTCCCCTATTGCGTCATTCGACCAATCAGAAGTCTCCAAACACGTGGCAACGAATCATGCTGCTTCTTGATGAAGCAGTTGGCTTCATCAAAATGGCACCATGGCCGCCTTTCCTTTAGTAAAAACAGCGTCGTGGGCGCCTTTGTTCATTGATATCCGATCTTCGTAATCTTGCTCCAGCAACTTGAGCTCGATGTCCCCTATGACTTCCGAGTGGCCCACTAGGCTGCTCGACCCTGAAAATGCACAAAATGCTACCCAAAAGAGTATCAATTGTATAAAAGCAATCTAGCTAGGAAACCCTAACTCTCCCAGTCTCGTGTTAAGAAGCAATGAACGAAACTCTAGTGTGAAGGATGAGTTCATATACTATGATGCAGGTGCAACTAGTTAGGAAACCCTAACTCTCTTAGTCGATCAATTAAGGATTGAAACTATAACCTAGGAAACCTAGCTCTCTTAACCGTTCGCTGAGGATTGCAACAATAAGCTAGGAAACCTAGCTCTCTTAACCGATCAACTAGGATCGCAAGAACCAAGATGGAATCATGGCACTAATCCAATATTTGAGGTTTGTCATAGATTAACCAAGAAGGGGTTACCCAAGTGTCTAGGAGGTCTAGCTCATTATGAACCAAAGGGGAATTTCCTCATTCTAGGTCAAATTGACCCAACAATGAGATATATAGAAAACATCACTCAATATTCATGATTAATACCTCAAATATTATATAAAATAAAAATTCAACACACATAGAGTCAAGTTCTTACATCATAACACATTTCTAGACTAGGGTTTACAATACCCAAGCGAGTAGGGAGACTACTCCATAGTTAGGCAAGGGAAAACAACAAAGATGAAAGAAAGAACCATGGTGTGATGATTATCCTCCTTCATAGTTGTTTGAATCACCCTTGAGAGAAGAAAACCTTCAATCCTCTAGTTTAGGGCAAGGCCAAATCTCCTTCTTATTCCTTTGTTCGTCACTTTCTCTCTCTTATCAAAAAGAAGAAGACCCCATCTCTCACTATATCCCCCTTCTGTCTTTCAACTCCTCCTCTTATATAGACTGTCAGGAATGTCGCGGTCAAAAGTCACGATCGTGACATCGGAAGCCTGCCCGTGATCTCGGAAAAACTGCACTATGTAAATAACCATTTCGGGCCAACTTCATGTTCGGGAGGGAAATCACATGTGAAGGGAAGTCAACCTATGGAACTTGATTAGTTGGGTGGAAGTGAAGCCGTCAGAACCTATAATCAAGTTTGCGCTGAGGATTCCCTTAGTGTCGACTTTAATACCCGAGAATCTGACCATGAAGGCTCTGGAATCTCTCATTGCATCTTTGGGGTATGCCATCTCTACAAACTCCTGGTAGAACATGATTTCTACTGAGCTTTAATTTTCCACGATGACTCTCTTTAGCCATCTAGACTTCTATATTAAAGGGAGGATGCTCAAATTTTCCTGGTTCCAAAATTCATTCGAGTCGACGGAGATGCATTGTGTGCTGGTGATAGTGGACATGAAGGCATATTCTCCTAAAATTTTGTTTCATAGCAGTAAAATGAATCTGGGTAATTCTAGGAAGACCTAAAATTTTGTAGAGAAAGGGAGTTTCTCGTCGCCACTATTATTATTCCTTAAAGACCAACCATGTTCCTTATTCTTATTCTCCTTTTCTTTCTTCTACCTCTTTTTTCCTAAATTTGTAATATGAGTAATATATAGTGGTATGGGGCATATAATCTAGAAGTGGTATTGCAATTCAAAAATTACAACCCATTTTTTATTCTTTTGTATGCAATTAAGTAAACCACATGCATGAAAATCAATAAATATATGGAGTTTTGCACATAATAACTATAAACTGCGTGACACTGCAAAGAATTGCCATTTGTGATATAAGACACTATGGATATCAACAACTCCAAACGCAAACACAAGCATAATTAGTCATGGATTCGTTTCCAATACATTGGCCACTAATTTGCTGGTGTCTCTCATAACACTTTTGACCGCAATCAACTAATGTGCATCCTGATGGGTATAGTGTTTCCCTGCATCTTTTTATTTGTCCATTGACTTCTGGAAGTAGGAATGCTGTAAGTAAAAAAAAAAAAAAGTATGAATAAAACAGTAACACAAAGGAAAACAACATGAAAAAAAAAAAATTCAATAAGAAAGTATTTGAAAATAAACCCTCGGCCAACCTGACAGAATCAATGCAAAGACCAAAGCTTGGAGGAGATGAGATTTTGCCATCTTCTTGAATCTAGGTTTAACCTTTTGTTTAGTGTTTTTCCTTTATGTAATTTGCAATGAAAAATGATGGGGGACTCTAAACTTATATATATATATATAGTTGGAGATAAGAGAGTCATGATTATGTTCATACTTATAATTGGAAGTTCGATACACTAAAATGGAATTTTAGAATGTACCAAAAAATCCATTGGAGCTTCCATATAAATATTATAATTATTTCGAAATGGTAACAATTTATGTTTTTACCCACTTATTTCAAAATATTCCTCAAATATATAAACTGGATACATGTATCTATTTTTGAAGGCTAATGACCGAGTTGAAATACCTTCACATTTACGGGGATGATAAAAACATTTTATTTATTGTGCCAAATTTGGGTAAATTGCAAGGTTGGTCATTGAAAGTGCTAAAAAGTTCACATTTGTTTACTAAAAGTATTTTATTCCATTCGTGGTCACTGAAAGTGGTTAAACATTTCACATTTCATCACTTTCCGTTAGTCTTCGTCAGCCTCCGTTAACACCGTCAATATTTTGCTGACGTGACTAACAGAAGTGCCTAATTAGCCAAATTTAACCTGCCACATCATCATAAAATAAAACCCCCTACCCGCCCGTTCAAAAATCCTAACCGAAGCCCAAACCATAACCCATTTTTTGACTCGCCTGACCTAAAAATTGAGTCAATCAACAACTCTGCTTTCTTCCTCGGGGCGAAAGAAGATTGCGATGAAGATGAAGGATGGGTTGTGTTAGTGGAGATCATATAATACTCTCCTTGCTTGCAACCGGAGCTGGTGCTGGGATTCACCCCACACTCCGACGCCACTTGCATCACCATTCTCAGTCAAGTCAATGGTGTCGAGGGTTTGCAGGTCAAGACGAGAGGACGCAGAGGAGGAATCTCTACCGTCCCGCTGAAGCCGCCATCCGTACCGCCGCCGCCGCTTTTCTAGTCTCCTCAATTTCCCTGTCCATCGTTGAAAGCAAAAACCCTACACTGCGAGTTCTTATACGCCATTTGATACCCTCCAAAGTGAGAAGCAAGTTAACTAGTGACTAAGATTGCAACAAAAAAACCCCAATTTCTGATCCAAACTTTCACTTTCAACAGAATCCCCTCCCAGTCAAATTGAATCCTAAAAAACCCCCACCCCTTATGAAAACCTAGAAAACAAAACCCTAAATCACAAAGCCCAGCCACCGAACCACACCAACCTCGTCGAAATACATCACCCTTAGGGATTGAAAACCCATAGTCGGCTTCTTCATCATCTCGTTGGGTGGGTTCTTGTGGCGGCCCCCAATTCGTACCCAAGCGTCAATACCAATCCCTAATGCCCAATGTGAGAGGAACAACGTAACTAGGCATTGGTTTGCTTTGTATGCAAATGTTGGTGGGTTCTATCTTGTGTCTCTACATAGTCGAAGAATCTGGGAACACACACAGGGAGATGGGGAAAAGGGGGTCACGAGTTCTATCTTGAAGCAGTGACAGGGATGACTTTTGGGTGGGAAAAGGGGTTCATGGGTTTGATTGGTCAAAAGAGAAAGGTTGGGTTATGGGTAGGGCTTGGGTTAGGATTTATGATGTGGTGGGTCGGATATTATGATGTGGCAGGTTAAATTAGGCTGATTAGGGAATTCTGTTAGCCACGTCAGCAAAAAACTGACGGTGTTAACGGAGGTTGACGAAAACTAACAGAGAATGACCAAACATGAAACATTTAACCACTTTCAGTGACCATTAACGGAATAAATACTTTTAGTGACCAAACATGAATTTTTTAGTACTTTCAGTGACCATCCTTGCAATTTACCCCAAATTTAATTAAAAAACAACATATTAAAATTTCCTTAGGTCCTCATTATTTAGAATGGTACATTGTTTCATAAAACTTTTACTTGAATTTGTGGTGTTGGGGTAATGTAGAGGGGGGAAGATGTTTTCTTACGATTTGCGCACCTTGATCCGGAGAGGGGCGTTGATATAATTATGGTAATCTACGGATTAGTGGACTAACTCTGAAAGATGTGTTTCCTAAGGTTGTTGGAGCCGCAGCCTACCCAAATCACCGCGTTTCTCAATCTTTTTAATTAGAAGGATAGAGTTTTTCGTGGGAAGTGTTATGTAGAAATCAAGTTATAATTCTAGTATGCTCTAAGGTCGTATTCCTTAAGGTCTTGTAATGCATAATCATTTACACCATATCATCTATTCTACACAAAATAAACAAGCATCTTTAGGGGTTTTCAATCAATCAACAAGGAAAGGAACGTAAAACAAGAAAAGGTAAAATTGTTTAGGTTTTTTTTCAAATTATAGATGCATAAAATTAAAGATACATTATTGTAAAGAAGGTAAATCTCGAGTTACATCATGCATGTGCCTCTCTTGCAATAGAGAGTTTAAACTAGCTAATGACTGAGGGTGGGACTCTTTGAGTCAAATTCAATGGTCTATAGCATTGATGATCTAAAACTCAAGCATTGATACTACTAGAGGTATAGATAGTTAATCGTTCCCTCTATACTCGTGTAACATCAATGGGATATCACTAGAGTTAATTTCTTAATAACCTGGATGATACTACACACAAAGCATATAGTAGCACACGATAGAGGTAAGACAAAGAAAACGATGATAATGAAGCAGTCATACTAGATAAACAACAATGATAATCATATAGGCATTAAGATCAAACATTCATGCATATATAACAAGCATCGAAATTCATAAGCATAAACACAAGCATAATATGAAATCATAGCATCAATACATACAAAGATGAACACGTTCGCATCCTCATACAATCAATGCAAGCTAGCTATACATAAAAGAGAAGGAGGGTACCACCATCAATGATGAAAGCATCTCCCTAACTTTACCCTCTAATACAAATTCCAAGCTAGTGAATTTGTGTAGGCTTTCGAACTAGTGAGTCTAGCCCTCTATTTGTAGGGGGTCAAAACTCTCCTAAACTAGCTAGGATAATGTTTTTTTTACTTGGGGACAAAGTCATGGCCTAAAAATCTCATTTGGGCTTGGTCCTCTTTGGAATGCCGCCCCTTTTCTTCTTGGGATGGCCTCCTTGGCCCATGGATGACCTCTCTTGAAGATTTGTGTGCGATTTATCCAAGTCTCCATGAGCTGCGGTTCGGCCCGATTAATCGCTTGCGTGATCGAGCTTTAAATTTATAAGTCAATGCACACTCTCTATTCAATCCTAGCTAAGCCAAGCATAACATAGCTAGGCTCGTAGTAAAGTGGCTCGTTCGTATTCCAAGGGACCCTACGCTTACTATTACTTCGCTTCGAACTACTATCTAATCAAATCAAAAGGTTGGTGAAGAATCTAACCTAATCTAATCCTAAACAACCAACCCAAGTGGTTGGTAGACTGCTAGAAATGAGATGGTTACGTAAAATTGAATTCCCTTAGCTATAGTCGGTAAGTTGAGTTCAAAGGATATGATGTGAACTCTCTGATATGGGGATTCTCCCATGAGAAGTCTCCCTTCTAGCGTTACCCACAAATACCCAATGTCACCTCGATATAAGCTTCCTCGCTAGGGATGCTCTTATAGTTCCTTTAAATAGGTTCAACCTACCACACACTACTGAGGAGTAGGATCTGTGCGCTTGCAAAGCTTTATTCTAGGAAGGCACTATAGAGGCAAGAGTTCGGTCGCCTCGTCCACCTCAAAGCCCTAAGATACCCACTATCCTTAGTCTGCCAAATGGCACATACCCATCTAATCCTAAACCTCCTTACCCAGTCTATAAGGTCAAGTAGGCTAGTAGAGAAGATTGGGGAGACTTACCCAAGCATAACCAAACACACATGAGGCATAAATTCACTAGAACAACATACACATAAATAAACTCATTTAAATACCAACTACAATCTAGGGCTCATCTATTCTAAACAACCATTAGAGATTCAAGTCATAGAGAGAAAGAAATATACAAACTAGAAGAGAGGGAGTGATGGAATCAAACTTCTTCTCATTGCTTGAACCATCTTCTTGCTCTTTGGGTAGATTGGATCTTCAATGAAGCTCTCCCAAGGTGTTTTCCTCTCTAAAACAATCCAAAACCCTAACTTTCTCACTCTAGGTCGGCTCTCCCTTTATCAAGTGTAGAAAATGGATATTTATAGGTAACCTGGCCGTGACCAGCTGGAATGTTTCCGAATTGCCCGAAATGTTGTGATTTGACACCGTCTTTAAGCTCCAAGATTGTGGTCTCCTTCATAAGATCTCGATCATGATCATTATGTTACGAGCGTGATCTTTTTCGCGGTCAAAATGCACCATGTTCGTGATTCGGGTGTCAAAACTTTCTGCCTTCTTCTTGGTCACCTGTTGAGGTTCGCGGCCACTATTCACGGCCGTGATCTTCAGGCCACAAACATGGTCATGGTCGTGACGTGTGGTCGTGACCTGTGCCTTTCTCCCCTTTTGCTCCTATGTTTTCCAATCTCGTTCGGATGAACTCCAATCGATTCCCGATCAATCCCAATTGCATATAAGACTTGGAATTTCATCACAAACACTGGAAAAGGAAAAATATGACAAAGTGGGGTCGGTTCTCCAATGAAAACCTTCATATCAAGAATACCTACACAAAAATAAATGTTTTGCAATCAGGAACAAAAATCGACATAAATAACTTGATATGTGGTGTACACACGGTGATTTAACATACAAATGACTTAGGAATAAGGGCTAAATAACGCCTATATTAGGTGTTATCATTGATGCTAGGCCACCGCTGGTTCTTGCTTAAGCTTGGGCTGAGTCTTCCTCCATTTGGATTCTCTTGGGCTCTACTTGTTGTTACTAGTAGGCTACTCTGTAATTGGACCTCTTCTTTATCACGAAAACTCAACATACTTTTCTTTATAGTTGTTTTGGTCCTCTAGAGTTCTTGATCCAAAGTTCCTTAGGATGCTTTGTACCTTGAAAACCATAAAAAAACATAAAGGCATCAAAACAAAATATATCCTAGGTCTATTAAAGACTCATTGATCAAATAATTATGATTCAGATACGAAATTCAAAAGAAGGAAAGGACTAAAGATGCATTGATAGAAGGGGAAAATGTATCAAATATGAGAGTGATAAACACTATACATAGAGTGTCATCAAGTGTATATATATCTTCATTTTCTATATAGTTCCTAGAATCCAACACCTACAATGGGCTATAGCTCGTGATCCCTTTACATGTGCCTCGCACGAGATCAACAAGCACAAGTGGAGTGATTTCCATAAAAGTATATCTAAAGCAAGTTCCCCCAAATTAAATGGTACTAAAGCAAGTTCATTTACTCATACTATGCATAAAATCCACCTTAAACAAGTCTAATATCAATAATGAACCACTCTAACTTTTAGGCTTAAAGTCAACCTTTTTCAAACTAATCCTAAGTTAGTCTCATATATACATGTTGATAATAAGTAGATTTTACATATTTTTATCCCCAGTTGACATTGTTTGACCTCTCATTTCGGCAAGTTTTATATTTTTTTTGCCAGATTTATACCTTGTTTGTTGTTTTAGTGTGTTTCAGGTCACCTTGAGTGAATTTGATGATATTTGGACAAAACAAGCACTAAAGATGGAGGTTAAGGAGTTTGGGATGATTTCAAGAGCATTTGGACGTGATTTGAATGTATATGACGATCCCCACACGACTTAGGATACGACCGTGTTATGGGGTGTGCTCGGGAACTCGTCACCCCTATAGGTGTCAAAACATAGCCCGACCCGATTAACCCGCCCGATCAACCCGACCCGCAACCCGACCGCAACCCGAATTGACTAAAAGTCAACAACCCGTAACCCGCCCGACCCGCAACCCGATTGATCCGCAACCCAACTAACCCGCAACCCGATTAACCCGAACCCGATTGACCCACAATCCGACTGACCCGCAACCCGATTAACCCGAACCCGATTGACCCGAACCCGACTAACCTGTAACCCGACCGACTCAACCCGAATTTCATCTAATCCACTTGAATAATTATAAAAATATACAATACATAGTTTTTCAAAATAAAGTTTTTCATTCTAAACTTAAGTAAAATTATTTTTTCATTTCGTATAAGAAATTTAAAAAAATATGAAACTCACTTGATATTACGTATTTTAAGAAAATTACAAAAATTGAAACATGAAGGTCACTTGAGATCATGACAATATTAATATAATATATAAATTAAAATTTTGGTTAATTTAACTATTCAATAAAATTATCAATTAAATATAAATAAAGTAAAGTAATGTATTTGGTAATTTGATGTTTTTAAAAGAAGAGGGAAATTTTGGTGTATTCAAGTTTTTGGGAAGAGAAAGAAGAGGGAAATTTGATTCTTTGAATTTTTTAGAAAAGAAACAAGTGGGAATTTTGGTGGTTTTGATATGTGGGAAGAGAAAGAAGTGGGAAAGTTTGATTCTTTTGATTATGAAAGAGAAATAAGGAGGAAAACTTTTGACTTTTCAACTTTTTGTAGAAGGAAAGAAAAGGGTAATTTGGTTCTTTCAATTTTATGGAAGAGAAAGAGGAGGGAAAATTGAGTTTTTCTAATGTATGGAAGGAGAAAGAAGGAGGGAAATTTTAGTATTTTTGCGAAAAGAAAGAAGGAAACAAATTTGGTGTTTTCAATTTTTTGGTTTTTCATAATTTTAGCTTTTGAAATATGAATCTTTAACTTTTATATGGAGGGCATGACTAGTTAAAATTTTCTTATATGCTTTGAAAGCTAATATGTATATATGTATGTAATTTTTTATGGGCTAATAAATAAATTAACCATTAGTTACAACAATTTATACTAAACTTGATAAGTAATCTTTGACAGTTCGTTGTTTAGGATATAAAGTATATGGTTAGGGTATAAGGTATAAGGTACATATGGTTTAGGGTGTATATGGTTACGGTATAAGATATTGATGGTTTGGACGTTCTAAATTTTTTATTAACATATGTTCACTTGAAGTCATTTGAAGTCTTTAACGGCAGGAGATCCCTTTTTAATTTATGTTTATGGTACGTGGTTAGAGTACAAGGTATGTGGTGTAAAGTATAGGATATATGGTTAGGGTATAACAATTAGCAAATATCAATTTTTATCTATGTTTTGAAAATCAAAGTATGAATTTCACTTTTAAATTAAATATACTAGCAAAATCACAACTCAAGGACATATGATTAGGGTATAGGTTATGTGGTTAGTGTATAATGTATTGATGGTTTAGGGTATACAATCAACAACATATACTAACTTAATATTGTTGATTGAGGGTAAAGCTAAGTGTATAGGATATATGCTATTGAGTAAGTTATGATTGAAGTCACAATAATTTTACTAAATTTGATAGCTAATCTTTAATGGTTCAATTTTTAGGATGATTCGAACAATTTTACAAATAACTCGTTTGGCAACAGTTTACTAAAGTTATTTGGGCAATGAGTTATTTTGAAATAAATCCTTTTATCACTATGCTTTTGCCAAATACCACACGCCAAATACCAGATTTGCATGGTTATACTAAACGAGATACTTTAATCCAGTTACTACTGAATTAATACTGAAATATCAAATAAACAATTAACGGTGTCTTTTGGTTGCAAATATTGATATCACCATTACTATTAACTATAATACTTTACCAATTATGATTAATTACATAACAAGTTTGCAAGTCATACAAATTGATTTAACATTTTGACTAGTTTTTTTCAAAAAAATAAAGTATATATATACGAGGTAGAAATAAATTGGTTAAAAAGTTGAGAAAATATTTTAAATTAGTGTAATAAAATGTGTAAGTTGGTAATGAGTAATGAGTTAAGTTACTTGATGCGCTGGCCCGAACAACCCGAAACCTGACCCGCCCGCAACCCGCCCGACCCAAAACCCGATGAACCCGCAACCCGATTTGCCCGCAACCCGATTGAAACCGAACCCGATGAACCCGCAACCCGACTAACCCGCAACCCGATGAACCCGAACCCGATAAACCCGCAACCCGACTAACCCGCAACCCGTTTGAACCCGAACCCGATTGAACCCAGCCCGAACCCGCCCGATTGACACCTATAGTCACCCCTCAGAAACCCGAAGAACAAAAGAAAGAAAATAATTTTCGAACTGAACACATCCTAGAACACGCTTGTGCCCATTGCGTTGTTCGAGTATGGATTTCTGTAATATTTAAGTGAACTTAGGGTTTTCTAAAGGAGATTAGCCACTTTTTACCCATAAAACCTAAATATGAGTTAGAGAAGAGAAAAGGAGGAGCTTCCAGCAGTTTGAGTCAGATCCAAGCATCAAGACGAAGCTGGAGATCAAGAATCAAGAAAGGTAATATCATGGTGATGTCTTTCCCTATTGTATTTTCTATTTCTTAGTATGCATGAATATCTAAAATTCTAGACTATTCAGATTGCCTAGAACCCTATGGATGATGGATGGAATTGATTATGAGATTAATTGAAGTTGTCATATCAATGCGATTGTTTATCCAATATTAGATATCTTCTCACATGTTGATAGCTTCGAATATGTTTTGTGATTGGGTCGGGCTGGAACGAATTATCACATTAGAATCGAACTCTAATCGATTGGGCTACCTCGACTCCTTAGGAGAGAAATATATAGGATCCAACTGCACTTGTAGTTCAGCTTGTGCAAGATTCTTTCTCAGCCAAGTAGCCTGATCAAAAGTGAATAAATCATGCTGCAAGCTGTTGGGTACATGTCTTGTCCAAAAGAAAAGAGCAAGAGGACAATCACAGAGTATATGGACAATGGTCTCTAGGCACCCCCTGCAGGGAACATAATGCGCAGAGGGAGCACATTTCCTAGTGAAGCGAAGGGGATTGGTTGGTAGCTTCCCTAACAGAGTCATCCACATGAATTTCCAGATCCGTTCCGGCACCGGAAGCTTCCAGATCGTCCTCCAATGCTTCTCGTCGGGGTCTTTAGTCTGCGCCAACAGGGCTTCGTATGCCATCTTGGATGAAAAGAGTCCATTTGCTGATAATTTCCAAAAGATGGTGTCCTGCTCCGAGGAAAGCTTGTCCACTGCCACACTTGTAATTTTCATTTGGATGTCCAATGGAATAAATTTTTGAAGCTCATCTGTTCGACAGGTGCCTTCCTCCATCCCGAAGTCTGCTACAACCGCCTCTTTTAGCTCGCTTGGAATAGGAGACGTAGTAATCTTCTTAATTGGCCCCCCTGCAATATCCACGAATCACGCCAGAAATTAGTGTTTCGACCATTCTTAATATTCCACGCACAACCACTTTTCAGGAGATTGGCTGCTGTGTTACTGCTTTCCAGGTAAAGGAACTTCCGTGAACATCGCGAATTAGCTCCAAATTCTCTCTTGTCCGCTCATACTTCGACTTCATAATTTGAGTCCACAAGGCGTCCTTCTCCTTGATTAGCCTCCAATCGCTCCTTTGCAAGCATGGCGAGGTTTGCCTTCCTGATGGAATGAAGTCCAGCCCCGCCTTGCAGTTTAGGTAGCACCATCTTGTCCCACGCCACCGTATGCATCTTTTGCTTGTTGTCTTCCACTCCCCAAATGAAATCCTTGTTTATATTATCAATAGAATTGCAAACACCACGAGGTAGAAGTTCAGTGTGCGTATGATAAGTAGGTAGGGATGAGGAAACAGAGAGAACCATCATCAGACGAGCGTCCATCGAGAGTCGTCTAGATTTTCAAAGGGCTAGCTTTTTCTGTATACGCATGATCAAGTTCTGGGACCGCCCTTTCATCACACGACCATGAATGCCATCAATGTCAAGATGTCTCCCGAGCATTGGTTTCAAGGGGATTTCCACCCTTTGACTCAACCTGGCTGCTTTCGATCGATCAACATTCGGAGAAACAAACATGATCGACTTTGAGTAGTTAACACGCTGTCCGGGGCTATGGCAAAAGTCTTCAAGACACTGTTTAATCACTCTAATTTGCCTGGTCTCAGCTTAAGCAATAAGCAATAAGTCATCTGCAAAAAAGAGGTGTGTGAGAGGCGGTCCATCCTTCTTAAGCCTAATGGGTTTCCAATGCTTATTATGAAAAGCAACATCAATCATGTGGGATAGGCGTTCCATGCATAACAGAAAGAGATAAGGGGATAAGGGATTTCTCTGACGAACTCCATGCGTCGGCTTGATGAGAGGTGATAGATTGTCGTTACAGAGCAATGCATCTTGTTATGCTCAACACAATACATGATGCATTTAATCAAGGAGCTGGGGAGTCCAACCTCTTTCAAGATGTCACGCAGGAAGTCCCAACGCAGCCTATCGTACGCTTTTTCCAGATCAATCTTAGCACCAACCCTCCTTCAACAGTGCATTTATTTGATAACCAAGTGTTGTGTGTATAATAAACATGCAATATTATTACAATTACTAATTATTTGGTTATTTCCTTAATTATCTATTTGTAGTGGATTAGGAATAGGACAAGAACTCCTTATTTATATAAACCCCATGTTATGCAATTCATAAGATAAGATCATGTTGAGCGAATAAGAAAACCCTATCTTGTTGTACTTTGTTTCTTTATTATTCGTTCATAGGAGTATAGTAAAAATGTATACGCATAATTGTTCTGCAATTTCACACATACAAGTTAAGCTCTACTCACTTGCGAGCTTATGATAGAATCCCGTAATTAATCTCGTTGGCAATCGATTTTAGACCTTCATTAGTTTCTTTTGATGAAATGTGCATGTTGTTTTCCTTTCCCAATAGACAATTTTCTTGTTTGCAAATGAATTAAAACCACATGTATATATAAAAATCGCCACAACAGTCGACATATAAATTTCATTCGCCCACTTACAATTAAATTGAATGTGTGAAATATCTCTCAACAAATGAACTGTGTGAATAGAGACTCAAAGAGTCTATTATTAGGACAAAATTAAATATTAGCTAGCGTGCACAATTCCAAATACAAGAACAAGCAAAGACCGTCTTGGATACATTGGAGATGCATTGGCCTCTCATGTCATTATGCTTCTGAAAACACTTTTGACGACAGTCATCAGGTGTGCATCCTGATGGGTATAGTACTTCAATGCATTTCTGGGTTGCATTTGCTTCTATAATTACCATTGCTGTGGTTCCCAGAAAAACAAAAGAAATTAGTAAAACAATAGTGATATGTGTTAAACTAAATGGGTTAAAAGAAACTAGTAATAACCATGTGTTCTTGAATCACTTATATGCTAATAAGAAGAAGAAAAAAAATGTTATGGTAAAGATTAAACTAACCTGAGAGAACCAGGGCCGAGAAAACCATGGTGACGGTAAGAGTTTGGACAAAAGAAAATTTTGCCATGTTCTCAATTATGGTGACTAGTTTTTTCTTTGTTTTTTTTTTCCGCACTTGTTTCTCTTTTTTGGACAATATAGTATGGCAAAAAGATGGATACCCTATATATATTGGGTAGAGTGGCAATATAGATGGAAATTTACCTAAGTACATGAATGTAAATAAAAACTACAATAGGATAGTATGAAATTAAGAAATTTGAGATTGGACCCATGAACAAGTATTGTAACTGAAATATGATGATAGTTCGATGTTTTACCAGTGCCCACATATTAAGAATTGTGGCTCGGATACATGCACGTCATAGATATTACATTTATGGAGAATTGAAGATGTGCATGCATTTGGTTAGTGTTTAAGAAATGAAACTATCACATGATGCTAATTGTGGTTTCCTTGAATTCTCATTGTCCGAAAAGGAAAACAATTTCACAATTTTACATCAAATTTTAAATTGAATAATGAATTTTAAAATCAATTTAATATACCGACTCAGTTTTATATAAGTTCATTAGTAGACTATCTTTACTACTTTAGTAGACTAACTTTGAAGGTTGAGTGATAAATCTAAGATCATCCGAATTCGAGAACTAAACTTGGAAGGTTATCCTTTTCCTTTTCCAACCCATAGAATTTGGGAGGCTGAATTTAGATTATTAGAATTTTTCGAGGTAAATCCGAAGGAAGATAAAGTGGGAGGTAAATATCGGAGGAGAAAATATGTGGGGTCGAGTATACAAATGGGAGGGATGGAGTTAGCGGGACTTGGCGAGATCCTTACAAAAACGCTTATTGATTAGAAATTTATCACTCTATATAACATGCATCTAAATTCTCATTCATACCAATTACCATGCATCTCAATGATTCATCTATTCCTGCCACTCTATCCCTTCTACTAAAGCATTCCTAACTAAGCTTTTTCCACATGCGAGAAGAACAATAGCTAATTAATGTGTGTTTTCGCTTCATGCCATCAACTAACTAATAGAGAACATAGAAGTACACTTATTTAAGTATGGGCCTTTTGAGCCATAACATAATGTCTATAGCATTGGCGACCAAACAATCAAGCATTGATCCTATACATGTAATGGATGGGTGATCAATCCTCCCATACACGCATAGGGCAATATGATATCACTACAAAGAAGTTTCCTTACATCCTAGATGATGTTATAAACAATGCATATAGTATCATATAATAGAATCATAAACATTAAAATATAATAATCTATGACAAAGCATAAATATCGAAATACTCAAGTAACCATAGACAAGCATAACACGAAATAATGGATTCAAATAGTCATATTATGACGAGTTCACATTCCTACACAATCAATTCGAACTAGCTATACATATAAGAGAAGGAGGCCACGATAAGCAAATATGACGAAATCTCCTTGATTGTGTCCCCTCCTATTGATGTTAAGCTAAGCTCTTGATTCAGGCCTAATTGTACACTTTTTATCCCTGTTTCTCTTTGGCGTTTGTGACATTTGAGCTCCTAAAAGGGTGGTTTTATGCTAGGTTTCTTGTGTTTCAGAGTCTAACAGGTGAAACCAACCCCGTAGTCGAAAGTTGGAAGAAAAGGCGCAAAGACCGGGCCAAGAGGAGGATCCAGCCGCAATTCACGGTCGGAGCTTGGATTTCATTGTCACCAGGACCGTGAACTAGAACCACAAAGCGTCCTGAGGAGTTTCAGAGGTTACCGACGCCGAGGCAGGTCACGGTCGTAAGATCAAGAACTGGAGCCATGGATCGTGAACTCTATAAGTGAAGCAACGCGTTTTCATCTGTGTTTATGGTCCCGACCTGATGTTCACGGCCGTGAACTGGGACCGTGAGCTGGGCGCGATCTGTGTATAAATTGAGAGCTGAAAGGCAGAAGAACGGAGTGCTCAAAGTGAGAGAAACATTCTTCTTCTTGAAACCCTAGAGAGAGAAAGAACGAACCAAGAGGGAGAAGAGGCTAGGGTTTGCTCCAAGTGAAGATTTTGGAAGTTCCTCTTCAAGAGAGGATCTCTACAAGCACAAGGAGAGTTGGAGGCATCACAATGATGGTTTCTTTCTTCTTCCTTTGTCTAGCATGGAGTACTTTCTCTTTTCACTTGGGTGTTGTAGAACCCTAACTTTTACCATGTAATTGATTGTGTGGATTGAATGATTGTGTGATGGTGGTGTTTAATTTAAGAATTGAGGTATTTTTTATGGTGATTGTGCAGTGTGTGCTTGGAAATCTATTGTTCTATTCTAACCTAGCTTAGAGAGAAACCCCCTTATCTTAAGAGGCTCAAAATTGAGTTGGGTTTTCTTAGGCATCCCATGCCTCCTAACTAGGTTAATGAAGGGCAAACCTCTAAACTCGAATTAGACGCCTAAGTTGATTATGATTATGTCGTCCAAACCTTGGTTTGAGGGAGAAGGTAAGTCAACCCTCAATTGCTTGGGCCAAGAGGGCTATAATTGTAGCCTATAATGCTTTCCTTGGCCTAGCAATTGAGAGGATGGTTTCTAACCATTGTTGCACCTCCTATGGGTCACAATTGCATTGTCACACATCGGTTCATTCAATCCCACGGCTCATGGTAGCTAGTTAGGGGTAAGCAACTCCCGAGTGAAGCTTCTCACCAAGAGTTTTCCACCCTTTTACTTTTCAAGTCTTGCTTTTAAATAGTAGGTTATAGAGATTTAAACTAACAACATTCCGTTAGATAATGTTTCAAACAATTGAAGTAGGGGTACATGGGTCGGCCCAGGTTGATATTTAAACATACTTGCCCTATATTGCATCCATTTAAGGTTTATACTTGGGCCTTAGGTGGGATTTTATTGTGATATTCGGAGTGTGTCAAGTTTTTGGCATCATTGTTAGGGAATCTCGGTCTGTTATCTTGAAAAGATTGTTTGGTGTTCATCTAGCTTTTATTTTCAGTTTTTTTAAGTGTGGATTTTGCTTGTGCTTGATGTGGTTGTTCTTTAAGTGTGTGCAGAGAGGTGTATGACCCGGAGCAATCTGACGCTTTTAACACCACTAGACGAGAACATCAACCGACTCTTCGACTTTTGGCTCGTGAGAGGGAGTTAGCGGAAGCAAGAAGGAGAATTGAAGAGAGGGGACAACAAGTTGGTCTTGGATATGGAGGAATTGAATGAGAAGTTGAAGTTGAGATGGCAGGGAATCAACATCGAGGTGCTAATCCGCTTCAGAACCAAAATGAGGAAGCGGGAGCCGAGGAAGAACCAAGAACTATGGGCTATTACATGGCCGCACGGGCGGTGGATATCCAATCTCCCATCCTACATCCACCTGTGCCCGCCAACAACTTTGAAATCAAGCCTGCTCTCGTCACGATGATTCAAAACAAGTCCTTATTCCACGGGCTTGCCAATGAATCACCGCGAGAGCATGTTCAAAGTTTTCTTGAGCTTGCGGGAAGCCTGAAGATAAATAGCGTCCCCGTGGAGGTATTACAACTGAGGCTATTCCCCTAATCTCTTGCGGGGAAGGCACTCCGACGGCTCAACAACCAACTAGCTCGATCCATCACCTCTTGGGACGATTTGCTCAACAAGTTTATGACCCGATATTGTCCTCCTTCCAAGACGACCGAGTGGAGGAAGAAGATCACTCACTTTGAGCAAGAGGAAGATGAGACGTTGAGGGATGCATGTGAATGATTCTCCGACTACTTCCTCCAATGCCCTCACCATGGATTCGAGGTGCAATTTTGGATAGAGACTTTCTTCGGTCTCATTCAAGATGATAAGATTCTCATCGAATCTCTTTGCCAAGGGAATTTGATGAACATGACTCCACCTCAAGTGACTGAGTTGCTCGAAGATATGGTTCTCAAATGATATGATTAGGGCTTGACAAGGAGTGGTAAGAGAAGCACCAAAAGAGGAGTGCGAAGTGTGGGAGCAAGTGCTCCACTTGAAGAAAGTTTGACTAGTTGATCGAGGTGATCCTTGAGGACAAGAAGCAAGGGAAGAGAGCGGTGATATCTTGTGATTGGTGTTCAAGCACTGATCATGAAATTGCGGATTTCCAAGCGATGAAGGAGACAAATACCCCGGAGGAGCAAGTGAGTTTCATTGCCAATTCTAGAGGGAACATCCCTTATAGCAACACCTAAAACCTCGGGTGGCGCAATCATCGAAACTTCGCTTGGTCTTCCCCTACCAATCCAAGACCTCCCGGTTTTCAAGGTCCAATGGGCAACTATCAACCTCGGCCAACTTTCATCCAACAAAGACCTCAATTCCAAAACTCGAACTTCCAACAACCATACCAAGCACAAGGTGGTCAAGGGTTCCAACAACAACAACAACAACAAGTCGACAAGTTTTCTAAACTTGAAGATCTAGTCACCACCTTTGTGAATACAAGCTCTCAGAAGTTTGAGAAGATTGAGCAATCCATGGATGTGGCAACCTCCAAGTTTACCTCGATTGAGGCGGGACTCCGAAGTGCCCATTGAAAAATGTATTAGATAACAATGATAACTAAATGGAACGCCGACATTCAGAAAGAGTTGTGCGCCTTAGTCCAATATTCAAAGAGGTTGTGTAACTTTGTAATTTCAACTAGTTAATACACTCATTAAATTTTGAAGTTATATTGTATATTGGGCTCGAACTATCGCAAAACACGTACAAAACAAAATCGGCTGCACAACCCAATTGGATTAAGTGATTCAAAATATACAAAAAAGGTAATATTGTTGTCGCCGTATTAAATTTATGCACTAATGTGTTCTCTAAATTTGACACTAACAATAAAAGAAACAAGGGTTGAGCTTGATATGACGTCAAATGTTGAAAGTACCCAAGAGAGTTAATCCTTTACAATAGACACTCTTCACAAGTCTATGATCCACTCAAGCTCAATAGGGTATATCTTATAAATCATGTTGAAAAATGAAAGTTCTTCTATGGGGGTGGCCATGGAAGAAATCAAGGGTGCAATGCCTCACTCAAGAGTAAAGAGAGGTTCTCCAAAATGTGGGTGTTTTGCATAAGTGGATAAGCGATATATCCTCAAGTAAAGACGAAAATCTTATAGTCATAATGAGATAAGTAAAATGGTGAGAGGATGAGGGAGCATGTGTCCTCCTTTGTTCTCTTTTGTTTCTATTGAGAAAGAGTAATGAGAAGCAAGCAAGAGTATATTTGCTCATAGTTTATGGACGAAAGCCATCTCTTCTTTTGTTGGACAGGCTTAGACGCTTGGTTTGAGTGTTAGTGTTTTCCCCCGTCCCAAATGGATACTTTCTTTGGTATGCAATTAAGTAAACCAAATGCATGAAAACCAATAAATAAATGGAGTTTATCATTGAATAATAACTATTATGTTATTTGAAACTGCAAGGAATTGACCGCTAGTGAAAACATGATTTTGTGGTATAAGGCACTGTGGATCAACAACTCCAAACGCAAACACAAGCATAATTAGTCATGGATTCGTTTCCAATACATTGGCCACTAATTTGATGGTGCCTCTCATAACACTTTTGACCGCAATCAACTAATGTGCATCCTGATGGGTATAGTGTTTCCACACATCTCTTTACTTGTCCATTGACTTCTGGAAGTAGGAATGCTGTAAGTAAAAAAAAAACATGAATAAAATGAGTAAATACACAAATGAAAACAACATGAACAAAAAATTAATTAAAAATAAACCCTCGATATCATTTAAAGAGAACCATAACCAACCTGACATAATCAATGCGAAGAAAAAAGCTTGGAGAAGAGGAAATTTTGCCATTTGCTTGAATCAAGATTTAACCTTTTATTTTCGTGTGTTTCTCCTTTGTGTAACATGAAATTTGAAATGATGGAGGACTCTAAACTTGTATATAGAGTTGGAGAGACGAAATTGACGATGATGTTCATACTTAGAATTGGAAGTTGAATAAACTAATATGGAACTATAGAATGTACCACGAACATCATTCGAGACGCCATATAAAGATTATAATGATTTTTAAATGGTAACAATTTTATGTTTTTACCCACTTAATTTCAAAATATTCCTCGAATATATTAAATGAGTACATGTATCTAATTTTGAAGGTTATCAACAGATTTGAAATACCTTCATATTTATGGGGATGATAAAGCATTTTTTTTACGAATACTGCCAAATTTAATTAAAAGAAACAAAATAATGAAGTTTCCTTAGGTCCTCATTATTTATAAAGGTGCATTATTTCACAAACTTTTTACTTGGATTTGTGGTGTTGGGGTAAAAATTAGAGGGGAATGGTGTTTTCTAATGATTTGCATACCTTGATCCCAGAGAGGATCTTGGATATACTTATGGTACGATCTTTGGCTTAGTGGACTAACTCTGAAAAGGATAACTAAAGCAAGTTCACCCAAAGTCTATGGTACTAAGCAAATTCATTTACTCATACTGGGCAAAAAATCGACCTGCAACCAGTCTACTATCGAGAATGAACTCTTAACTTATAGGATCATAGTCAACCTTTTTCAAGCTAATCCTAATTTAGTCTCATATATACATGTTGATGACACGTAAACTATATACATGTCTCATATATGCATTTCTGGGTTGCATTTGCTTCTATAATTACCATTGCTGTGGTTCCCCGAAAAACAAAAGAAATGAGTTAAAACAATAGTGATATGTGTTCAACTAAATGGGTTAAAAGAAACTAATAATAACCATGTGTTTTTAAATCACTTATATGCTAATAAGAAGAAGAAAAAAAAATGTTATGGTAAAGATTAAACTAACCTGAGAGAACCAGGGCCAATAAAACCATGGTGACGGTAAGAGTTTGGACAAAAGAAAATTTTGCCATGTTCTCAATTATGGTGACTAGTTTTTTCTTTGTTTTTTTTTTCCACTTGTTTCTCTTTTTTGGACAATACTATATGGCAAAAGATGGATACCCTATATATATTGGGTAGAGTGGCAATATAGATGGAAATTTACCTAAGTACATGAATGTAAATAAAAACTACAATAGGATAGTACGAAATTAAGAAATTTGAGATTGGAGCCATGAACAAGTATTGTAACTGAAATGTGATGATAGTTCAATATTTTACCAGTGCCCACATATTAAGAATTGTGGCTCGGATACATGCGCGTCATAGATATTACATTTATGGAGAATTGAAGATGTGCATGCATTTGGTTAGTGTTTAAGAAATGAAACTATCACATGATGCTAAAATTGGTTTCCTTGAATTCTCGTTGTCCGAAAAGGAAAACAATTTCACATCAAATTTTAAATGGAATAATGAATTTTAAAACCAATTTAATATACCAACTCAGTTTTATATAAGTTCATTAGTAGACTAACTTTGAAGGTTGAGTGATAAATCTAAGATCATCCCGAATCCGAGAACTAAACTTGGAAGCTTATCCTTTTCCTTTTCCAACCCATAGAATTTGAGAGCTGAATTTAGATTATTAGATTTTTTCGAGCTAAATCCAGAGGAAGATAAAGTGGGAGGTAAATTTCGGAGGAGAAAATATGTGGGGTCGAGTATACAAATGGGAGGGATGGAGTTAGCGGGACTTGGCAAGATCACTACAAAAACGCTTATTGATTAGAAAATATCACTTTATATACCATGCATCTAAATTCTCATTCATACCATGCATCTCAATGATTCATCTATTCTACCACTCTATCCCTTCTACTAAAGCATTCCCAACTAAGCTTTTTCCACATGCGAGAAGAACAATAGCTAATTAATGTGTGTTTTCGCTTCATGTCATTAACTAACTAATAGAGAACATAGAAGTACAGTTATTTAAGTATGGGCCTTTTGAGCCATAACATAATGTCTATAGCATTGGCGACCAAGCAATCAAGCATTGATCCTATACATGTAATGGATGGGTGATCAATCCTCTCATACACGCATAGGGCAATATGATATCACTACAAAGTAGTTTCCTAACATTCTAGATGATGTTATACACAATGCAATAGTATCATATAATAGAATCATAAAACATTAAAATATAATAATCTATGACAAAGCATAAATATCGAAATACTCAAGTAACCATAGACAAGCATAACACGAAATCATGGATTCGAATAGGCATATTATAACGAGTTCACATTCCTACACAATCAATTCGAACTAGCTATACATATAAGAGAAGGAGGCTACGATAATCAAATATGACGGAATCTCCTTGATTACGTCCCCTCCCATTGATGCTAAGATAAACTCTTGATCCGGGCCTAATTGTACACTTTTTTATCCTTGTTTCTCTTTGGCGTTTGTGGCATTTGAGCTCCTAAAAGGGTGATTTTACGCTAGGTTTCTTGTGTTTCAATGTGTTTCAGAGTCTAACAGGTAGGTGAAATCAACCTCGAAGTCGAAAGTTGGAAGAAAAGGTGCAAAGACCTTGCCAAGAGGAGGATCAAGCCGCAGTTCACGTTCAGAGATTGGATTTCACGGTCGCCGGGACCGTGAACTAGAACCACAAAGCGTCATGAGGATTTTCAGAGGTTACCGACGCCGAGGCAGTTCACGGTCGTAAGACGGTGAACTGGAGCCATGGACCGTGAACTCCATAAGTGAAGCAGCGCGTTTTCATCTGTGTTCACGGTCCCGATCTGATGTTCACGGCCGTGAACTGGGCGCGATCTGTGTATAAATTGAGAGTTGTAAGGAAGAAGAAGGGAGAGCCCAAAGTTAGAGAAACATTCTTATTCTTGAAACCCTAGAGAGAGAAAGCACGAACCAAGAGGGAGAAGAGGTTAGGGTTTGCTCCAAGTGAAGATTTTGGAAGTTCCTCTTCAAGAGAGGATCTCTACAAGCACAAGGAGAGTTGGAGGCATCACAATGATGGTTTCTTTCTTCTTCCTTTGTCTAGCATGGAGTACTTTCCCTTTTCACTTGGGTATTGTAGAACCCTAACTTTTACCATGTAATTGATTGTGTGATGGTGGTGTTTAATTTAAGAATTGAGGTATTTTGTATGGTGATTGTGCATTGTGTGTGCTTGGCAATCTATCGTTCTATTCTAACCTAGCTTAGAGAGAAGCCCCCTTATCTTAAGACTCATAAAGAGTTGAGTTTTTTTAGGCATCCCATGCCTCCTAACTAGGTTAATGAAGAGGAAAACCTCTAAACTCGAATTAGACACCTAGGTTAATTATGAATCCCTGGTTCAAACCTTGGTTTGAGGGAGAAAGTAAGTCAACCCTCAATTGTTTGGGCCAAGAGGGCTACAATTGTAGCCTATAATGCTTTCCTTGGCCTAGCAATTGAGAGGATGGTTTCTAACCATTGTTGCACCTCCTATGGGTCACAATTGCCTTGTCACACATCGGTTCATTCAATCCCACGGTTCATGATAGTTAGTTAGGGGGAAGCAACTCTCGAGTGAAGCTTCTCACCAAGTGTTTTCCACCCTTTTACTTTTCAAGTCTTGCTTTTAAATAGTAGATTGTAGAGATTTAAACGAACAACATTCTGTTAGATAATGTTTCAAACAATTGAAGTAGGGGTACATGGGCCAGCTCGGGGTGATATTTAAACATACTTACCCTATATTGCACCCATTTTAGGTTTATACTTGGGCCTTAGGTGGGATTTTATTGTGATATTCGCAGCGCGTCAAGTTTTTGGCACCGTTGTTGGGGAACTTCGGTCCGTTATCTTGAAAAGATTGTTTGGTGTTAATCTAGCTTTTATTTTCAGTTTTGTTAAGTGTGGATTTTGCTTGTGCTAGATGTGTGGTTGCTCTTTAAGTGTGTGCAGGGAGGTGTATGACCTGGATCAATCCGACTCTTTTAACACCACTAAACGAGAACATCAATCGACTCTTCGACTTTTGGCTCGTGAGAGGGAGTTAGCTAAAGCAAGAAGGAGAATTGAAGAGAGGGGGCAACAAGTTGGTCCTAGATTTGGAGGAATTGAAGGAGAAGTTGAAGTTGAGATGGCAGGGAATCAACATCGAGGTGCTAATCCGCTTCAGAACCATAATGAGGAAGCGAGAGCCGAGGAAGAACCAAGAACTATGGGTTATTACATGACCCCACAGGCGGTGGATATCCAATCTCCCATCCTAAATCCACCCGTGGCCGCCAACAACTTTGAAATCAAGCTTGCTCTTGTCACGATTATTCAAAACAACGCCTTGTTCCACGGGGAGCTCGATATGACGTCAAATGTTTAAAGTACCCTAGAGAGTTAATCCTTTACAATAGCCACTCTTCACAAGTCTATGATCCTCTCAAGCTCAATAAGGTATATCTTATAAATCATGTTGAAAAATGAAAGTTCTTCTATGGGGGTGGCCATGGAAGAAATCAAGGGTGCAATGCCTTACTCAAGAGTAAAGAGAGGTTCTCCAAAATGTGGGTGTTTTGCATAAGTGGATAAGCGATATATCCTCAAGTAAAGACGAAAATCTTATAGTCATAATGAGATAAGTAAAATGGTGAGAGGATGAGGGAGCATGTGTCCTCCTTTGTTCTCTTTTGTTTCTATTGAGAAAGAGTAATGAGAAGTAAGCAAGAGTATATTTGCTCAGAGTTTATGGATGAAAGCCATCTCTTCTTTTGTTGGACAGGCTTAGACGCTTGGTTTGAGTGTTAGTGTTTTCCCCCGTCCCAAATGGATACTTTCTTTGGTATGCAATTAAGTAAACCAAATGCATGAAAACCAATAAATATATGGAGTTTATCATTGAATAATAACTATTATGTTATTTGAAACTGCAAGGAATTGACCGCTAGTGAAAACATGATTTTGTGGTATAAGGCACTGTGGATCAACAACTCCAAACGCAAACACAAGCATAATTAGTCATGGATTCGTTTCCAATACATTGGCCACTAATTTGATGGTGCCTCTCATAACACTTTTGACCGCAATCAACTAATGTGCATCCTGATGGGTATAGTGTTTCCACACATCTCTTTACTTGTCCATTGACTTCTGGAAGTAGGAATGTTGTAAGTAAAAAAAAACATGAATAAAATGAGTAAATACACAAATGAAAACAACATGAACAAAAAATTAATTAAAAATAAACCCTCGATGTCATTTAAAGAGAACCATAACCAACCTGACAGAATCAATGCGAAGGCAAAAGCTTGGAGAAGAGGAAATTTTGCCATTTTCTTGAATCAAGATTTAACCTTTTATTTCCGTGTGTTTCTCCTTTGTGTAACATGAAATTTGAAATGATGGAGGACTCTAAACTTGTATATAGAGTTGGAGAGACGAAATTGACGAAGATGTTCATACTTAGAATTGGAAGTTGAATAAACTAATATGGAACTATAGAATGTACCACAAACATCATTCGAGATGCCATATAAAGATTATAATGATTTTTAAATGGTAACAATTTTATGTTTTTACCCACTTAATTTCAAAATATTTCTCGAATATATAAAATGAGTACATGTATCTAATTTTGAAGGTTATCAACAGATTTGAAATACCTTCATATTTATGGGGATGATAATGCATTTTTTTACGAATACTGCCAAATTTAATTAAAAGAAACAAAATAATGAAGTTTCCTTAGGTCCTCATTATTTATAAAGTTGCATTATTTCACAAACTTTTTACTTGGATTTGTGGTGTTGGGGTAAAAATTAGAGGGGAATGGTGTTTTCTAATGATTTGCATACCTTGATCCCAGAGAGGATCTTGGATATACTTATGGTACGATCTTTGGCTTAGTGGACTAACTCTGAAAAGCAGGGCTGAACTTCTGACCCTTAAAACCCGACGACCCGTCCCGTCCGGTCCCGTCCCAAAGGGTCGGGCCGGGTCAATTTGCATAGAGGGACAAGTTCGGGACGGGTCTTCCTCTTGACCCTATAAGGGACGGGTCAAACTACACTCAGACCCTAAAAAACCACCTAACCCTGTGATCAGGAAAACAGACCCGTAGAAATTAAAGAATAGTGGGACAAGTTCGGGACGGTCTTCTCCTTCTTCATTCTTCTCGCCTCGATTCTCACTTCTCAATTCTCATCGACTGAAAGAAAACCTACACCCTAAAATCTCAATCGATTCTCGACGACTTCCATCCGGGCGTCCAGCCCAATTATCGCGCTTCCTCGTCGGCGGCGCGGTTGGAGAATCCCTTCACCGCTTCACGATACCTCTTCTCCATTCTTCTCATCGACTGAAAAGGAAACCTACAGCCTAAAATCTCCACCGATTCTCGGCGACTTCCATCCGGTCGTCCAGCCTAGTTGTCGTGCTTCCTCGTCGGCGGCGCGGTTGGAGAATCCCTTCACGATACCTCGTCGCCACCAGGACCTTGGAGAAGAAGTTGTTGGTCGAAAATCTGCATCAATTATAGGTATGTTTCTTCGGTTTCCTTCTTTCATTGTCTCTGTTTCAGCCCCAAGATTGGTGGTCTCTGGCTACTCTTACTGCTTTGATTTTTGTGGATTTGCTCATATATGTGTGGTCTGAGTTTGGTATTTTGGTTACCCATATATGTATGTGGTCTGGGTTTGGTCTTCTGGGTGTTTTCGTGGACAAACCAGGTCGTCAGCTATGGTCAATTTGGGTTGTGGGTATTGCTTGTTTGCCCATTTTTGTAAGATCTGATAGCTAATGGTGTTGCTGCTGTGGTGTTGCTTTGGAATTTAGAGGGAATATGTGCGGTATTGATTTAGTTGGGTTCAAGGCTGATTAAGTATGATAGTGTTATTTGAGTAGAGGGGAAACACAGTAGTCCTTAGTGGATGATGTTGCCTTGTTAGTTAGGGTAGAAATGTTGGGTTTGAAGGTGGCAAGAATGTTTATGTCAACAATGGTGGCTGGTGGAAGGGCTAGAAGAAGAGGGGGAGTTTTTGAAGTCATTCTGTTTTTGTTGTAATCTTCTGTACATATGTAATCTGAATCTTGTCTGTCTGTCTGTATCCATTCAAAATGAAGACAATTTGTTGGATGTATTGGGTCTCAAGTTTGTGGGAAAGCAATCAACTGTTAAGCCAATTGTAGTAATTGAAAAGCCGGTTGTAATAGTAACACTACACTAGTGGCATCTTTATCATCCATCTCTGCCTTGTTCTGTCTTCCTTTTTGTTTGTTGGAGGATGTTATTTCTGAGAAAGGACTCTGATTTTTGGCCACTGCGAAGCAGCTGACTGTGTTTGAGCTCAGAAAGATAAGAGATTGAAAGAGAAAGGGAATAAACGGGAGGCAGCAACTGTATGTATTTGGTCTGCGTCGATCCTGTGGCTGTGAATGATCCAACAAAGTCAAGCATGATTGGAGCGCAGGCTATTGTGTTAAAAACACATATTTTGTGATTATCTTTTTGTGGGATGTGTCGTAGTCATTAGTCAATGACTTTTGATAATATTGAATGCTTAATTAATGAGTAGTAGTATGATAGTGTTATTTTGCTTTTTCAATCTTTTAGTTTATGATGCTTGGTTTCCTTATGTTATTGGAAATCTTCACTTGGTATTAATTTTTTGATTCATTAAAATGGTAGGATATGGATGAAGCTAGCAGTAATCCCATGGAGGTCTCCACCAATGCACCTTCTCAAGGAAATCTTCCGTTAGTTGATGAAAATGAAGAAGGTACATTCGGAACTTCAGCTGTATGGGAGCATTATAATAGACAAAATTGGTCGGATAAGGAATCTAGAAAAGCTGTTTGCAAATATTGTTCAACAAAGTTAAAATGTCCATCTACTTTTGGAACAAGTGGTTTGAAAAGGCATTTGCAAAGATGCAAAAAATATCCTTATAGTAATCATAATCAGAAGAAATCTAGAACTCCTAGCGCTCAAGGTACCAATACTACAGCTCAGGGTACTAGTAGTGCTTCTCCTACTTTTACACCTCACACATATGATCCAGTTGTCTCAAGGATGAAACTTGCTAGAATGATCATTATTGACGAGTCACCTTTTAGGCAAGTTGAGCATGAAGGCTTCCGTGACTTTGTCCATTCGCTAAGACCTGAGTTTCACATCCCTTCTAGGATCACCATAGCCAAAGACTGTTTTAAGTTGTTTTTGGCTGAGAATGAGAAGTTTAAAAATTACTTCAAGCAGTCACAGATTAGAGTTTGCCTCACAACCGATATATGGGCAAGTAAACATCATTTGGACTACATGAGTCTAACTGCTCATTTCATTGATAATGAATGGAAAATGCAGAAAAGAATTATCAACTTCTCTCCTATTCCTAATCACACGGGTCTCACGATTGGAAAAACGGTTGAAAAACACATGCTTAATTGGGAAATTGATAGGGTTCTTTGGCTTAGTGGACTAACTTTGGAAAGTGAAAAGGATAACTAAAGCAAGTTCACCCAAAGTCTATGGTACTAAGCAAATTCATTTACTCATACTGTGCAAAAAATCAACCTGCAACCAGTCTAATATCAAGAATGAACTACTCTTAACTTATAGGATCATAGTCAACCTTTTTCAAGCTAATCCTAATTTAGTCTCATATATACATGTTGATGACACGTAAACTATAATATTTTTACTTCCCATTTGACGTTATTTGAGCTATCAAGAATGAGATTACCATGGTGATGTCTTTCTCTGTAGCATTTTCTTTTTCTTTAGTGTGCATGGATAGCTAAACTTAAAGATCTGTTTAGATTACCTAGGACCCTAAGGATGATGGATGGAATTGATTATGAGATTGGTTGATGTTTTCCTATCAATGTGATTGTTTATTTAATCGAAGCATTCTTCTCACGTGTTGATAGGTTCAAATTTGTTTTGTGATTGGGTGACACTGGAAATGACAATATCATTATAATCAAATTCAATCGATTGGACTACCCAACTCTTGACGGGAGAAATCTGTAGGACCCAACGTAGCCTATTACATCTAACCACATTAGACGTATGGCAGGGTAAAATTGCATTGTATAGGCAGGAATTCAAATAGCACAGAAATCCATCAAACCTAAGGGGAAGCATAATCTGAATGGTTTTCTTTACCTTTGCTTAAGGTTGATTCAATTTATTCCTCCTTATCATTACTATGATTTAGTTTTTTCTTATTCACACCACGTTTATTAATTTTGGCAAAGTTTAGGTTCCAGCTTACTTGGGCTGGGTCAATCGAATAACAGATTTTAATTTATATACTATATTAATGTTATAAATTGTCACAATAGTTAATTATTCACTATAAATATTGACATTATGCTAATTTTATATTTCTCAAATTTTTTTATAACTATTCATGCCAATCAGAGGGGTTCGGGTTCAGGTTGAGGGCTCGGATAGAATAACAACACTCTTAGTGTTGTTATTATAACAACAAAATTCATTAAGGGTAAAAGGGTAAATTAGATAGAAAATAATAAATAAAGTTAATTAAATTCACTCACCGCTGTCAGATCTCATCACCCTTTCCGCCGCCTCTGAACACGAATTCTTCCAACTCGCCGGCCACGGAATCGCCGCCCAACTCGCCCAGTCCGCCGAGTCTGAATCGCCGCGTCAACCTCCTCCGCCTCCACAACGACGACGACGACCAGTCAGTTCCGGGGGCTATCTTCTCGGTGATCCAAAATCAAAAGCCCCGAGTCAGAGTAGATCTCGTCGCTGATGAGGTGGATCTGCTTGTCGGAGATGAAGCTGGCGAGGAGGTTGAGCTCCGGTCGGGTCAACATGGTTCCCAGCGGGTTGGAAGGGTTGGTGACGAGATGAGGATGGGCGGGCGAGGGTCGTCGCCGCCGATGGGCGAGGGTGAAGTCTTCGTCGGTGAACTCGGTCACCGTTGACGGTGATGTTGTCACCAAGATGGACGCCCTCGAGGACGGTGCTGGCTCGGATCTTGAGGTCGAATCCGTCGTCGGGGGTGCTGCCCAGGTGCTTGACTTGCCCCATTTCTTCGACGATTCCAGTGAAGAGCGATCAGATGGTCGAGGAGGGAAATCGGGTTTGGGGCAGGGATTTAGAGGTTCTGGTAAAGAAGAGAGATCGTGTGCTGGGATTCGAAATTGATGTGGAGAATTTGAGATTGGACTTTTGTGGGAGTAGATTCAGTATTGTGATTGCTGTTGGAGATGATGGGCGACTTCTCATGGGACAGAAAATCCTACTGGGAGCTTTGACCATAGATGAGAAAGAAGAACAGACTGCCATTTCTGTCTTCTTCTGGATACAGTCGAGTGAGACGCTCCAAAAGGATACCCTATTTTGAGGCTGTGGAATCAATTTGGGACGATTGGAAAAGGAATTGGAGAAGCAGATGGGAAGAAAGATTCTGCAAAAAAATCCTCAGGTGTGAGATGTTTGTTACTTATAATGCACTCATAAACATGCCATCCACAAACACGGTAAAACAATCCACAAAAAGCGTACCAGAAACCTCCCAATCCATACCACAAATCCCCTAAAACAAACCAAAAACCCCACAAAGCATACCACAAATATTCCGAAAGCACACCAGAAACCTCATAATGCAAACCACAAACATGCTAAAGCAAACCACAAACCTTCTAATGCAGACCAAAAATATATTAAAACAAACCAGAAACCCCACAAATCAAACCATAAAATTTTCGAAAGCACACCATAAACTTGTTAATGCAAACCAGAAACACAATAAAGCAAACTAGAAACCTCTGAATGCATACCACAAATCTCCTAAAACAAACCAGAAACCTCACAAAGCAAACCACAGAATTTTCAAAGACACACCAGAAAGGCAGAAACCTCATAATGCAAACCACAAATACGTTAAAGCAAACCACAAAAACAAACCAGAAACCTCCTAATGCATACCACAAATCTCCTAAAACAAACCACAAACCCCTCAATGCAAACCATAAATTTTTTGAAAGCAAACTAGAAACTTCTCAATGCAAACCACAAACACGATAAAGCAAACCACAAAAGACATACAAAAATGTGAGAAACCAAACCATAAATCTCACAATGAAGACCATAACATCTGGTGGTCGTTGACCGTTGACCGGTCAACGAAGTTCGTTGACCAAACTCCGATAACCATCAGTGAGCAGATTCCAACGCCGATAGGCATATTCCGGCCCCGATGACTAGATTCCGACGCTGGTAAGCATATTCCGACGCCGGTAAGCATATTCTGGTGACGATGGCATATTCCAATGAGAAAATAGCATATTCCGGCGACGAAAAGCATATTCCGGTGATCGGCGACCGAATTCCGGCGACCAAAATTTTGAGCAGAAAATAAAAAAATTTATTTTTTCATAATTACAATTATACCCCTGCTTTGATTTTACACTAGGTCAACTCAACTAATAAAAAGTCATCACAACCCTAGCTTCCTATTGGTTGGAGACTAGTGTTGTTACAATAACAACAAAAGGAGTGTTGTTATAGTATCTAGTCCCCAGGTTGATCAGGTAATGAGTTTGTCGGGTCGCATGTCAATTGAATTACAAGTTTAATCGGGTTGTGAATTGCAAGCCAGTTAGGTTACGGGTTAATCGGATTGCGGGACTGACCAGTTACGAGTCATTAACATTTAGTCAACTTAAACTGCAATATTCTCTATAAAAAAAAAAAACTTAGACTGCGATAGGGCTGCGAGTCAGATTAATCAGGCGGGTTACAATACAATTGACATAACTGTTGAAAGCGTAGAGTGCTGACTTGTATTTGAACATACTCAACAAGCCCAAAGGTGGAACAAGTCCAGAGTCCCGTATTGGGCTTTTAGCTTGTCCGTTCATAAAGGCCCAAACTTGAAGGATAAAGGCAAAATCCCTCTGCTAAAAAATTGATGACGGCAGACATCCGCAAGCATGGCGTCACTCATGAATAATAATAAAAAAAATAAGAAAGACAAAAAGACAAACATCGGTCTTTGTGCCGTTAGCAACGCGTATAAGTTATACCACAGACAGATACAGAGAAAGGCAAAGTCAACGTACACGTCAGCCCTCGTGTTTAACCTCATCATCGCCCCCGATCAGTTGCTATGAAACTTCCCAAAGTCAAGAGTCAACAACTAAACCTGCTCCCACTGCTCCACTGTTTCCCAAAACCAGAAATGGAATTTCTTCTCTAATGTTGCATGTATTGTTTTATGTGGGTCCCACTTACTATCAATGCATGCATTTATATCACAAAAAAATTCATAACAATACAACGATTTACCATACCCAAATTCCAGAGAACCCCTATATGTCTTAATGCAACTATGTATTTTATGATTTCGTTTTGATTTTGGTAATAGTTTTATAGATGCATTGTGAACTATCAGTTATTGTTCTATTTAAAATAAATTATATTATTTTTTGGGTGAATTATCACGGTTATCGTTTGTTTTTAATTTGAAAAATATAAACGCAAACGAAAAAAACTTAATGATATAGTTGGAATAAAAATAAACATAACAATCTTACTCAAACAATTTCAACAATCTCCTTTAAAAAGATAGATTTAGCTTGCATTTATTTTGAGTGATAGTTTGTGTCAAATCAGGTAACAATGTTTATATTGTTTGTGCAAAAAATTTAAAAAAAAATGATGCATTGTGACAATCTCAATCAAACTATCACCAAAATCAAACGCCTCCTATATTATTAGATTATACAGTACGCGGTCTAGCTATTTAATAGTGTGATTGCTCCAAGATTTTTTTTTTCTCGCACAGGGAGGAGGCCGAAGCCAAGAAAACAAGAGAGGATTACAGAGAGGAGGGGATTGGCGCCACAACCCGGCGCTCTAGGGTGACACCAAAAACGTCGTCTTTGAGAATCGGCATAAGTCCGGACGGCGGGTTCGCAAGCTCATGCATACCGTAGGGATAGACGAGACTGTGCTTCGAGAGCCAGTCCGCGGCTCTATTCCCTTCCCGGTACGTATGGGTGATGCGAACCAGCCAATCCCGGCTCAGCTTCCTACGAATAACTGATAAGAGGGTAGCATGAGGATGAATCGGATCGACCCTGTTCTCAATGAGCTGAATGGCCAGCTGCGAATCAGTCGTGATAATCAAGGCCTTGTGTCCTCCTTTCCAAGCCAAGTCAATACCGTGATTAAAAGCCCAAATTTCAGCTAGAGCGGCGGTAGCCATCCCAATGTTGGCCACAAAACCACCCACCCATCTACCTGTGTTGTCGCGCAGCACACCTCCAGCACCCGCAGTACCCGGATTTCCACACGACGCCCCATCTATGTTGAGAGAAATCCACCCCTGGGGAGGCGGGGACCAACCTATGTTCGCCATAACACGATGGGTCGGTCGCATCCTGTTATCCAGAAGCCCCGAAGGCGAATTCCAAGAGTCGCTCCACAGCTTCGCTTTGACCAAGATAGAGTGCTCAAGGGTCGGAGGAGTCAGGGCAGCCGTGAGTCCATGGAAGGCCGCTGCATTGCGATTTTTCCAAAGGAGCCAGGCGGCAATGCTAAAGAAGCCCGGCCATCCGATACCTGTGGCTGTCGAGGCGCTGCTGGTCAGATTGGCCCTCATCCAATCTTGTTGCTGGGAGTTGAAGAAGGCCGCCTGCATCTCAGAGGGAACATGACGTGACCAAAAAAACAAAGCCGGCGGGCAATCCCGGAGTATATGAATGAATGTCTCCGGCTGCCCCATACATCTCGCACAGCAGGGATCGGTCGAGATCTTCCTTGAGTGGCGCAGAGAGTTAGTCACAATCTTATTCAAAAAGGCCTGCCACATGAAGCCCCTGATCCTCTCCGGAGTTGGAAGTCTCCAAATACTTTTCCACACCTTCTCATCCTTGTCCGGCTGGTACTGCATGAGGAGCTTATAAGCAGATTTAGTGGAGAATTTCCCATCCGCAGTTGCCGTCCAAAAGAGCTGATCATCTTCTTCAGAGTCCCTGTCCACTGCTATGCTTAAAATCTTCTGAACCATTTCCCCTGGGAGCAAACTTGAGAAGAGGTCCGTATCCCAGCAGCCATCCTCGTCAACCATATCTGCAACTCTAACTCCTTCCAGCTCCGGGGGGATGCTGCCGATCGCGAGCTCCCTAAGCGGTACCTGCGAAACCCAAATGTCAAGCCAGAAGTGAGTTTTCCTCCCATTTTTAATGTTCCACGCGCAACCTTTTTTAAGAAGGCTAGCCGTTTTAGAGATGCTAGCCCAGGTGAAGGAACTTCCCTGAACTGGCCGGATCACATCAAGCCCCTGATGACTTCGCCCATACTTGGCTCGCATCAAACGTGTCCAGAGACTGTCTTTTTCCTGAAGCAGCCGCCCGCCGCACTTCGCAAGCATGGCCATGTTAGTCTCGCGGGTAGTCCGGATACCCACCCCGCCATGAGACTTTGGTCTCGTCATCTTCTCCCAGGAGACTAAGTGCATCCTGGCCTTGTCCTCCTCGTCCCCCCAGATAAAGTCTCTGCTGAGTTTATCAACTGCCTTACACACGCTGGCCGGGAGGAGCTCAGTCTGCATATTATAAATAGGCAAATCAGCAGAAACAGATTGGGTTAGAGTGAGACGAGCAACAAAGGAAAGTCGCTTAGCTTTCCAGGGAGCCATCCGTCTCTGAATCCGGAGAAGAAGGGATTGATATCGGTCTTTGTTCACTCTTTCATGGATAGCTTGGATACCCAGGTACCGACCCAAAGCCGCCTTGAGAGGGATGCCTGCCTGCCGGCTTAACCGAGAAACTCTCCTTCTAGCAACGTTGGGCAAGACATACAGAATGGATTTGTTGTAGTTGACGCGCTGCCCTGAGCTGTAACAGAAGTCCTCAAGGCACTGCTTCACAATGCTTATCTGTCGAGACTCAGCTTCTGCAAACAACAACAAATCATCTGCGAAAAAAAGATGAGTCAGAGGAGGGCCGTTCGGAGACAGTCTTACAGGTTTCCAAAGACCATCCCGAACCGCCAAATCAATTCTGTGGGACAAGCGCTCCATACAAAGGACAAACAAGTAAGGGGAAAGAGGGTCTCCCTGGCGAACTCCCCGCGAAGGAGACATGGGTTGGGACAACTCTCCGTTCCAGAGGACTCTCATCCTGTTCTGCTCCACGCAATACATGATGCACTGAATCCATGAGCTAGGGAGCCCAACTTCTTTAAGGGTGTCTCTCAAGAAGTCCCATCTCAATCTGTCATAGGCTTTTTCTAGGTCGATTTTAAGGACTAGGCCTCCTTTCTTGCCTCTTTTCTTCCTGAAGGAATGCAAGACTTCCTGCACCACAATGATATTGTCGGCTGTCTGCCAGCCAGGAATAAAACTGCTTTGCCGCGGGGACACCAACTTCCTCATGATCGGTTTCAGTCTACTCGTCATAGCCTTCGTGATCGCCTTGAGACTGACGTTGTTAAGGGATATCGGGCGAAGCTGAGTCACCATCTCAGGAGACTCCACCTTTGGAATAAGCACCAAAGTAGAATCTGTGACCGAAGGGGGAAGGGACCCTGTGTTGAAAAAAGTCAGCGCCAACTCCGAGATGGACTTCCCCACGATTTTCCAAGCTTGTTGGTAGAAAGCAGCATGGAAACCATCAGGCCCCGGGGCTTGGAACGGCTTCATATCGAAGATAGCTCTATGGATGTCCATAATATTGAAGGGGCGAAGAAGGGCCTGCATATCTTCCTGCCTCAGCCTCGGAAACGCGCCCCTAGGAAGTCTGTCCTCATAAATCGAACTATCATGCAGGTACAGATTAGTAACAAAATCAAAGACAAGCAAAGCGAGATCGTAGGGGTTGGTTACCCAAGAGCCATTCTCGTCCTGCAGCGCTTCAATTTTCTTCCGTCTCCTCCTCAGATTAGTCTGATGGTGGAAGTACGCCGTATTCCGCTCCCCATGTTTCACCCACTGATCCCGAGAGCGTTGGAACCAAAAGAGCTCCTCTTGCTCTAGGACGCTGTCTAGGTCTGTTTCCAGCTTCGAATGGAGCTTAGCCAACCCTGGTGAGAACTGGGTGGCCAGCCTGTCTTCCACCCCCTTGATGCGAGCCAACAGCCGCCTCTTCCTCTTATGAATACTGCCGAACACATCTATGTTCCACTCCTGGAGAGTATCTGCAAGATTAGACAGAGAAAAATGGAAAGGAGATTGCTCGTTCCAGGTATTAGTGATAACATCCATAAATTTCTCGTGGGTAAGCCAAGCGGCTTCAAAACGGAAAGGGCGCACGCTATTCGGAGAACCACTTTGAGAGGTGACCGTAGTTAGGATGGGGTTGTGATCAGACTGAGCCCGTGGAAGATGCATCACTGAAGTGGTGGGGAAAGTCGAGTTCCACACAAGGTTGCACAAGCTTCTGTCCAAACGGCTCGCTTTGAAGGTCTGGTGCTGATCTCCCCTGGTCCAGGTAAATTTGGGACCTGAGAACCCCAAATCAATAAGCTCTGCCGTATTTATTCTGTCGTTAAATAAACGGCATCTTCTGGCAGTAGAACTCGCAGGCGGCCCTGATTTCTCACTCAGCTCGCGGATCGCATTGAAGTCCCCAGTGAGGAGCCACGGAACATTAATCTGCTTGCTCTAGTTAAGAATAGTGTCCCATAAGGTGCGCTGCTCGCTTTGTCTGGGAGAAGCATATACTGCTGTCAAAATCCAAGGCGCCATTGAGGGCTGCTCAATTTGGAGAGAAATTTGCTGGTTGCTAGCTGAGATCACCCTCGGCGAGAACACCTTATCATCCCAGAACATCCAGATACCACCCTTTCTGCCCTCCGCTTCCACACGAAAGGATTTGGGGAAGCCCAATCTATCACAAACCGCATTAGCCGCTTCCCCGCTGATTTGCGGCTCCAACAAAATCACAAAATCCGGCCGATTGTTGCTGATAATCAACTTCAGGGCACGAAAGAAGGCCTTCCCACCTGCGCCACCAACATTCCAAGACAAGATTTTCATATTGGTATTATACATCATAGGCATAAACAAAGAGGAGAGAAAGAAGGGGAAGAGAGAAAGGGAGGGGAGACGCCTCATGGCGTGTGATTGTTCGGGCCACCCGGCAGCGATTTCACCGAGGTAGACTCCTCCACAGGGCTGATTTTTGGTGCTTCATCACTGCTCTCTTTCGGAGCTTGAGCGGCGCTCGTCCAAGCGTTGATTTCTTGCAAGGTGAGGACCGCCAATCTAGCCTTTGACTTGGGTTTTCGATCTTTCTTAGGAGACCAAATTTGGAGGGCTTTGACTGGGCTCGGCTTGTTCGGTAGTTTCCTGCTAGTGGTCTTCTTGCCTTTACTTCTTTTCGTCCGGGCGGAGGTCGTCGGTGAAGCTTGACGGTCGTTGCGATTCCGAGGAGCATCATCTGATTGAGGGTGAGCTATTTGCATCACCGTCCCGTTGGGCCCTATCACAGTCTGGAAGGCTGGCGGAGGAGGAAGGTTGAGCGATTGTGAAGTAGAGCTCGAATGGTGGGCCGGGCTGGAGGACGTAGATGGGTCGTTGATAATTCGTGAGGGGGGTTGCTGGGAATGGGTCGAAGTTGGGGTCGGGTCTTGGGCAGCAGCAGAGTTCGATGGGCCTTGCATGGGCTGATGGGGAGTCGGCCCAGAGCCCAAGAGACCCTTTCCTCCAATGGTAACTGCATTAGAAATCTTAGCCTTTCCTTTTCTTCCGTCGTCTAATTTATTCTTCCCGTGGGTTTTCCTTTCCTGGCTAAGAGACCGTTGCGGCCGGGAGCTGGAGGGTAAAGCTGTCGATGGCTGCTGACTCCCACTTTCCTTGTTGGCGGTGGCTGTTCCCTTCCCAGCTGGGGCAGATTTCCCCAAAATACCAATGTTTCCTGCGGCAGGTTTCCCCCTTTCACTCTCCTATTTACCTTTTCTGTCCGCATCCCGCTGATTCCGTCGACTTTTGCGGGTCACCAGCATCCAAGGACCGAATCCCGGATTCGGTTCATCCACCGCTTGATCAGACTGTTCGGCCACCGCTGCCTCGCCGGCGATCGCCAGAGTGGTCGTCGGACTTGCAATCTGTCTATGAGGGCAGCCTGTCTCAGTATGCCCAATCTTTCCACAGTCGAAACAAACCGCCGGAAGATTTTCATATTCCACTTTCTGCCAGGCATCATCAAGACAAATTCTTGGAACAAGATGTTTGGAGAGATCGACCTCCACCGCCATCCGAGCAAATTTAGCTCGTTGGCGGTTAAGGGTGTGAAAATCTAGCTTGATCATTCTCCCTATAAGGTTTCCCAGCGTGGTCAGCACTTCCTTATGGTAAAAATGTATCTTCAGAGCCGGAAGCTGAACCCACACAATCATTGTTTTCGGAAGGGGATCCGAGACCTTGAACTTCGGCGTCCATTGTTGCACCACCAAATAATGATCAAAGATTACCCATGGGCCGTCCGTGAGAGCGCGGAAGTAGTCTTGTTCATTGCCAAGCTTCACTAAGAAACAGTCATGATCAAGGTCCATGACCTCCATAAGTCCTGTTGGTCTCCATAGCCCCCTTAGCCGAGAGCACAGAGTGGAAAATCCGATTTTGATCCCCAACAACCGGACAACCAAGGTGCGCTGCCACGGTGCACAGATCTTGTTCTTGAATTCATCGGAAACCTTGAGAGCCGGTTCTCCATTTCGTAGCCCTGGGATAAGGTCATTCTCGCCCACTGGGGTCCAGGCGTGAGCTTCGTTGCCCACATTTGCCGCGGGCTTCCACCCAGTCACCGCGTTTGCATAGGAAAAAAGTTGAGTCGGCGTCGAAGATGTCAATGGTTGCAGGCTAGACGGTGTGGAATCGATGATCATCTCCGACGAGTTACCTTCAATCGACCCCCCTGTATGGGTGCTCGGCATCTTTGTTACATAAGGGGACGGCGATGTGTCCGGCGGCCGATCAGGAGGAAGAGCCGTCGTCGAGGCCGGGGTATCGCCGTTGTCAGTTGAGAGCATTTCAGTCATTCCGTGATTAGTTTACACCAACTTACAACTAGCTCCAAGATTATATGCATCATAACTAATTTTATTTTGGAGCATATCATTATTTAAATCATTTTTCTGAGTTTAGTCCTATCCGGACCGGACCGGACCGATGCTCACCCTATGTACTAAGAATTGAAGGAACATTCACTAAATAGTGAATTAGCTAGTAACCAAATTTAAAAGTGTAATCCTTCCACTTTAATTATGGTCATAGTACTAACAAAAATAAGATTATATGTAATTTATGTTCCTAGACAAAATCTTCCTTCCTGATACCATTCCGCATTAATGAAATCTTTCACGATCAACAAAGAAATTACGTGACTACAATAGTAAGCATTAAGGCCGGAAGTTTGGTATCAAAATTTAGGACCGAATTTGTTGATATTCCGTATCACAGAATATACGTACTATAGCATTATTTCATGAGATTGAAATCGGTTTTGAATTTCAAGTATTATTTGATATTATGGATCACGAGATTGTGATCGACATACAAACCGAAATACCGATCAGTACCGCGCGATATATAAACAGTAAGTATTTCATTCCTCTCAACCAGACTCCCTAACTCATGCTACCAGACTTCTACCGTCAAAATGGCCACTTAATTATACAAACCACACTCCCTCATTGTTTGACAACCGAGACGAAGCTCGTTTCATTACTTACAATGTAGTTAAAATCACCCTTTATAGCTATAAAAAAACACCTTGCGTTTTTATGCTTGTAGGATTATCAAAACGCTTCTATATAACAATATCGATACCCTATCAATTTCCATCGGATAAGCGTTATGGAAGGGGGGAAAGATATGACCGGGTCAGTCAGCCCTAGACGAACATAACCATCGTTCTTTGAATGATGAGATGAGATGAGATGAGGATCGGACGGTGTGAAAGAGACCATGGAGCAAATACAAAAACTGGTTGTTGCCAATATACACGTGGAGGAGCTACTTACGTTACATTATCAACAGTAAACAAGGCAACTAGGCAGGGTGAGGGAAGCGAAGATGTCAAAGTCGAAATTCGGACCAAAAAATTGTACGAATCAAGTACAGCCCTCCATTCTTGAATTCACTTAATTATGACTTGAATTCCTAATATATATATAAAAAAGACGACTCCAATTTGGTTAATTCATACATAAAAATGATAAAATTGATAATACGGATTTGGAACAGCTTCTTTCCTGCAGCCGCATCGATTTGCTTGAACATCCGTTTTCAAAGTCGTGTTTGGATATATTTCACGAAAAATATATTTCGATCGAAATTTTCAAACACCATAATGTTATAGCTGTTTGGGTTATCAAATCATTGGTTAGAAACATTCCATGAAGAGCAGAACTAGATTTCTCATCTCTAGTGACATCATTCCTCACCTTGCTAGCTAGATTGCCTTCCTGCTCCACTGTCTCATGAGTGGAAGCTGCTTTCAAGAAACAATGACTTGCTCCTTTTCAGTTTGTTGACAAAAGGGGGAAAAGTATGCCAAATTCTTTATTTAGTGAAGTCAAGTAGGAAGTAGCATTAGCAATTTGTATTTTAGGGTCAAATAAAGGTTTATTTATTGTTTTCGTTGAATTCAAATAAAGACTTAGCATTGTCCATCAACAGAATTAAGTGGAGAAAAGTTTGATTGAATATGTATTAACAAGTAAAATTTGATTGACAAACTAATTTGTGGCTGCATCTTTTTTTCTCCGGTATATAATTACCATTATAACCAAAAAAAGAAGCGTGAAAAGCTAGAAATCCACAAAATATAAAGCAACACCTTAATATTATGACTCGACTGAACCTATGAGAAATTGACAAGCTTTTGTAAGCTTGTTGCTTTACAAGCTTCTGCAACTTCAAACGTAGAGGGCGAGGGGTTCATTCTATGAGAAATTGACTTGACTGAACCTAGATTGCAGAAAACGAAATTTTCGTGGTATTCCCAACAAGTCGCGACTAATTCACATGAGAGTTGGAAATCTCTCCAAATGTATTTTTATTGACGAAAGAAAGCAAAGTTTGGTTGAAGCCGTTTACAACACTTATATAAACCCCCCTCCTTTTATACAAAGTGTCAACTAGGTTTAGGGAATGTTTCTCCTTGTCCGTCTCGGAAGCGAGCACACAACTGATCAGGAACATGAGATTATATGTAAAATTCATAACAGATTTAGAAAATAGAGTAATCGGTAACGATTTAGCCTCCCTCCCTCACCTATCGCGCGGTTTAGTCCAGTCTCACTCATTCAGATTTCTGACTCCTCCGCATACACGATACAACCATACGTGTATATATTGTTTCTTGTTGGTGTTGATCTTGGTGCTACCAGGCAACAACAACAATATTGAGGTTGATGGATGGCCTTAGCTTGTTAATTAATGCATGGCAACCAAACCATTATAGTTCAAAGCTGACAAATTAAACACCCACACAGCAACTAACTAGCTAGATAACACCCACACCTACTACCTATATAATGTGAGATTTTGTCATCTTCTAATTGGCACCAGCTGAGGAGTCCACAATCCGATTGAAATATAATTTGTCCACGTAATTTATAACAGGAAAAATAACTAACAAAAATATTTAAAAAAATTTGCACACAGGTGTCCAATTTGAATTTTGAAATAGTAAAAAAAAGAAGAAGATCCATTTCATAAAGTTGTATTGTTTTAAAGAAATTTTACTAAGTTGACTCGTTTGTTAGCGAAAATTTTAGATGGAGCAATTCGGTTTGAGAATTGTGAATTTACCTGTTTTGCGACAATTTCAATTGTTTGAAGGTAGATAATTTGAATTCAATCATTATTGATGACTCATTTTATAAAATGAGATAATTATTCAATTTCGTTTTTTAAATTGATCCGTCCAAACAACCCTAAATGAAAAGACCCAGCTGACTGCCCTTCGCTAGTAAGTGTTTTTTTTTTTAAGAATGATATATGTTTAGTTTTTTTAATTAGAGATTATTTACATCCACGCGTAGCACCAAACCCTTGTTTCACTACTGAGTGTTGATCTTAAAAATACATCAATATCTATTATATACTATACTAGTTCATTGTTCAAAATTCAGACTTTGATTTTGTTAATCTAAAGTGCGTACAAAATCTAAAGTGTGAAGACCCAAGTCAACCGTCACGTCACATAACACATTTAGACTGATTCGTCGTGCTCCTTTCACCTTAATTTGAGCAGACCTTCGCGCTGAGTTCTATAATCAAATAATGAAATGACTTGACATGGCAGATTGAATTATCTTTTGGTTAGAGGTGTAATTAAAGAGGTCATTAATTAAATGGGAGGGTAGCAAATCTTTGGGTGCAAAGTGCAAACACAATTTTCATGAAAATTCTACTTGTTTCAATTATGAATAGTGGCAGGGAGGAAGTGGAGTGCAAATTGATATCTCTTGAATGACTCGAATTTGTGTTGAAAATTATAAAGAAGAGATGTTTTGATTAAACCCGGTTTGATATGTAAGTTTCACTCAATTTAATCATCAGTCGACAAATCAACGCTTGAGTGGGAGAAATGTGCTGGCTATATGTCTTGGTCAAGGGTTGGCCTTCGAGCTTCGAGATTGATCGATCAATGATTATTAAAGGGTATTAAGATAGAATCGAGAAGCTTCGGAATGGGATTAGGAAAACAAATGAGGAATAATTGAGATCGGAATGAAGAAGAGACTTAATTCGATAACTATAGTTGCAATCCACCTAAAAAATATGATCTGTTTGACGTTTTAGTCCACAAGGAATTGCCAATTGGTCTGCTGCGTTGGAAGTTGGAAATGAATTCGCTTCAATTAATATCTGTTGACATGTAACTGTGGGTTCTGAATAGTGAAATTATTATGAATTTTGATTCATTATGTAAATAATTGAAGTCTTTTTTTTTTTTTCTTTTGTTGCTTCCGACGACTGTAGTCAATAAGATATTAGACCGATGTTAGGTAAGATACATGACATGAACCCAAGTTTGGGTGCAAATTAAATCTTTGGAATAAAAATCAGGGACAGGAGTTTTCCATAATTTTCGACAAACAAATTAGATATTATTACACCCAAGGCAAATTGAATTGCCTTTTACTTTTACCGCAACTACTTGATTTTTCTTTTTTCTTTTTTTTTTGAAAACGCAACTACTTGAATTGATCATATACCTTTGAGATTCAAGAATTTAACTAGTCCACTTGAAAAACTATTTTTTCATACTTTTTGGGTAAGTATATTATTTGTAGATGCCGCAATATTTGGATCGTCAAAGGACAGGAAAGGGGGAAAAGTTCATATGGTGGCACAAGAGTGATTTGCCAATACATCACAATTTATTATTTGTTTATGGACTAATTCCAGAAGTTCGAACAATCCTAAAAGTGTCATTTGTTTCCTAAACTTATTCAATATGACAAATCTCACATAAATTATACGTGTTTTGTGATATTTGCGTACTAAACTATTCAATATGACAAATCTGACACAAACCACATAGATGCTTATAAGATTTTATATTAAATGCTAACGGTTAACGCCAGACAATCGTTCTCAATCGTCGAGAATTGTATATTGACATATACAATTGCAGCAAATGACCACCAAATTTGATTTCGCTCCGTCATCACATCACAGTACATGAGGTGGTGAGATGTTCCTGGAGAATAAAAAAATTAAAAATCTCATTCCATATATTTTTTTTAAAGAAAGAAAGAAAAATGAGACACGTTATCCCCCTCCCTTCTTCCTTCTAGAGGCTGGCAGATGAGATGAGATGAGATAATTAGGTGTCAACTGTCCCATCTGAAAGTACTGGTTGGCAATTCTTTTTTCTAAAACCAAATTATAATTTATTTGCACTTGTGTGTATATATATTAAACAAATTAATTAGGCCAGGAATCTTTTATAGAGTTAATGATAAATTAAGCACACAGACATTGTCAGCTAATCTCTCCAAAATCCCCAAATTAGCGATTAAGATCATACACATATGCGGAAAGAAACTAATTAAGGATCCCCTTACTCTGATTAATAAACAAACATAACAGCTAATTAATCCCCAAAAATTTACACATGATTCCCCCACCTCCCTCCCATCATCCTTTTTTTTTTTTTTTACTACAGGGTTAACACTACATAGAACAGTAATTCTAATTAGTTTAATTTAAATTCCCTTCTCCAGAGAAAAGAGGGAAGAAAAAAACAACATATTTATAAGACCAAACCTAAAACTGGAAGAAGAAGAAGGAAAAAAATTGCCAGAGAAAAGATGGATGACGAGATCAAATAACTTTCCACGACTCCAGAGTAGGGAAATTGGAGAAAGTGCCAAAATCGAGCCCAGCACCGCCATCAGGCCCATCACCAACCAGCGCCTGCGAAAATGACATTGGGCCCTCGGGCCCACCACCACCACCAGGCGTGACGGAGACGCTAACCGTTTGTTGCTGCTGCTGCTGCTGAATCTGACGGTGATGGTCCAGCAAGAACGCTGACGTGTCCAGCGTCGGCAACAACCCACCACCACCGCCGCCGCCGCCTCCCCCGGCCGCCGCGGCTACATGTTGCTGCTGAAGCTGAATCGAACCCCCTCTGCCCAGCCTGTGCGGCTCCGGTTTCAGAACCGGGACCATGGCGTCGGTGAACCGGACCCCGCCGGTGACCTGCTGGACCATCTGCCGGAAGTTGGCCGGATCCGCCGTGATGAACGTCGTCTGGGACTTCTTCGAGGCGGCGCGCGACTTCCGCTTGGTGACCTTCCCGGTAGCGCCGGGAGCGGCGGAGGAAGTCGTGGTCGAATTCGTGTTGCGGCGGGGCTTGGGAGCGGGGGCGGGAGCGCTGTCCGGGTCGGAGGAGCAGGAAATCGGAGTCGGGGTGTCCGGATTGCTGGTCGTCCCGGCGAAATTGGTGGGGAGGAGGGAGTTAATCAGGGAATCCTCACCGCCGGCGGCGGCGGCGGAGTAGTCGAGAGGGGGAGGAGGAGGAGGGAGGGAGCTGGAGAGGGATTGCTGGAGGGCTCTGGTGAGGGCGTCGGTGTCGCGAGCGTAGGCCTCGGAGATCCAGGGGTCGGGGAAAGTGGGGCGGAAGTTCCAGGAGTCGAAGAGGGAGAGATTCTCCGATGAGGAAGCCATTAGGTAAAATTGCAGAAGCTGGGTTTGAGAAGAGTGTTGAGGTTTAGTCTGTAACTAAATTTTCAGAGCATGATTTTTGGAGTGAAGAGTAGATTGGGAGAGAAATGGGGGTGGAGAAGAGAAGGAGATAAGGGCGAGGGGAATGACTTGGGGAAGAAGGGATGTGGCGTTTAGAGAGAGAGAGAGAGAGAGAGAGTGACCGGCAACCGGGAGAAGGGAGAGAGAAGGAGAGTGGGAGGGAATGGGGGAGGTTGGGGAAAGAGGGAGATTAAATAGGGCGGTGGGAAGAAAGCGCGTTGCTGTGGGTAGGGTCGACTGAAGGACACGCGTCGGATCTTGCGGGTTTGGATTTAAAAAGCGATACTTTCTTTTTTTCTTTTCTCGTTTTGTATGGACAAATCCATCTTTGCACCTGTCACTCACTCACTAGTCACTGCGTAATCTAGTTAGTAATGAGCTGTGTACATGGGCTGGGCCTGGTTTGATTACAAAAATACTTTTAGAGGCCCAAAATAAAGGGTAGATATCCAGTAGATTTTATAAGATATAAAATAAAAAATAATTAATGATTGTGAATTTCTATTCTGAAATGGGATACGCTATTTGTTTCTCTTCATTTTCACGCAACTCTTTTATGAACCTTATTAGTCTATTCTAATTAGGGATGACAATTTCGACCTGACCCGATTTATCCGACCTGTTTGACCTGTTTTTGGGCAGGTCAAACCCGCCCGTAGGCGGGGCGGGGCGGGCATGGGTACCTCTCATCGACCCGACCTGCCCTGACCCGCCTCATTCTCGACCCGTTCTTGCCATCCTTACATATAATATTAGTCAAATTACTTAGGATTTTCCTCTTATTACATTATATTTTAGCTATAATAAAGTTGTAAATAAGTGAAAACCTCAATTTCTCCAATAATTTAACTACATTTTATCATGTTATGGTTTCTTTCTTGGTCTTTTAATAAAAATAACGAATGTTTCTAATGTTTTTCGCATAAATTACATACTCAATGGGTCGACCTGCCCCGACCCGCGCACCGTGATAAATTACCCTACCTGGACCCGACCTGCCATGGGGTGAGTATGGGTATCGAGATACCCGCCCCGGACCTGCCCCATTGCCATTCCTAATTCTAATTGGGTTATATGATGCTAGCTTTAGGTATGAGATCTTATGGAGTGATCATTGTCAATATTATTTTCATACCCTTTGATCTTCTCAATTTTCTCATAAATAGTCATGGCAAACTATTCTTTCCATTATTTTCCTACTTGTGTCTTAGTCATTGATATTAAAAAGAACCTGTAAAAGTAATTAAACACATTTCCATTGTTTGTTATCAACTTTTATGATTTCTCAAAATTACGATTGCAGTTGTACTTCTGCTTTCGGTGCAACCAAAGGCAAATGGCCTTAGCTTGTTTTCTCCATGGATGACTCTAGCGCGGGTTGCTCTGTTTATCTTTTACTACAAACTTGAACAACTTTTTTCGAATTTAAACAAACAGCACAATCATTAAGAATTACTATTTCAAGGATATTAACCAATAAGTAAAAGTGAGAAAAAGGAATTAAGAGTGTAAAGTTACTGTTGAATTGGGGTCCAGTTAGATTAGAGGTTAGACATTCTATATGGTCGTAGACTCGTAGTCTATTGATACCATCTTGTTTGCTTAAATTTGGAAACGCTTTTTAATTCAGCTTAGGTGTTCAATGCTAATCTTATATTATATTAGTAGGTAGAGACGGGCATGGGTGGTTAATCCACGGGTAGACATCGATCTACCCGTAAATAATTCGAATCGCAATAGGTGGATGACTGATGTGGCTGGATTGCGGATTGATAGATCTCCTACTCACACTTAATTAGGTGGATGGTGGGTGGATTGGGGGTACCTGAATTACCAGCACCATCTTTTCATATGAGAAAATGTTGTTTCATGTTTATACACTACACATTGTTCATCAACTTCCAAAAATGGAGAATGAGTAATATTTTTCGACTATTATTATTGGTTACTATGTTATCTAATGTCTATTAAATATTGGGATGCACATTATAAAATATAGTCACAAAGTGCGTCGGTTTTCTCCGTGCAATTGGTTGATAGAGCAATGAAAAATATAATACAAATACTACACGAATTAACATTAGAAAAAGTGAGAAATGTCTAAATTTATAGTGTTAATAACTTGCAAGGAACCTATTATAAAGGTTAGTTAACTTTTTTAATGGTTAGATGGAGAATTATTTTGCGGATTTACCCGCAACACAACCGCAGCCATTTGCCATCCACCCAACCCAACCCAACTCGAAGAGGAATGTGGGTGGATGGCGGATCACAATTTTACCAACCCGCTAGTAAGCGGGTGAGTCAATTTGAGACCAAAACTCACCCAATCCGTCCATTGCCCACCCCTATTAGTCGGTTTATCAAATAACTACCTTTGCAGTCAAATATGCTTTCCTATCTCTAGCTATCAAACTACAAAATCTCATGAGGTCTTTTTTAGTCTCTTTACATAATTCACATATTTTGCAATCTCCTCTATAGTTAAAGAATTCACAACTTATGAGACGCATATCATACACTTGATTTCCGCTTCTAATATTTGCTAAATGCTAATGTACGTCATGCTAACTCACAACTTAAGAAACACCACCATTTTGCACACTTACGAAAAAGGTTAATATTTTCGTATGGCCTGAACTTTGACCAAAATAAACATCATGGCCAATCTTTTCGATTTATAACATCCTGGCCCGAACTATACACCAAGATAAACAATTTGGCCAAAACCGATGTTCGACCGTTAACTTGGACGGTCAACGCGCCACGTCACTGCCAAGTCAGAAGATCTTATAAATATTTAATTTTTCATTTTTATTTTTGGTTTAACTAAGGTATTAGATGATTTTTTAATTTATAATAATTTAAAATTAGGGAATGTGTGGAAATTGCGAATTATTTTAAATATTTTATGCTGACTTGGCAGTGACATGGCGCGTTGACTAACGGTTAACGAGTTTGACCGTCCAATGTAACGGTCAAAAGTTGGATATGGCCAAATTGTTTATTTTGGTGTATAGTTCGAGCCAAGATGTTATAGATAAAAAAATTGATCAGGATGTTTATTTTAATAAAAGTTCAGGTCATACGAAAATATTAACCCTACGAAAAACCACCAGAGCAAATAGCAGCAACATGATGATCACTATTTTGATGTAAAATAATGGTGTGGTTGTCGACAGCTTAAATGCAGAACCCAATGTGGTTGCCAACGTAAACAAACATCCGGTTTCATTCATATGATGAGCAATATCCCTCAAACTTTTGAATGAGTGATATAGATGGTTTTAAAGTTTGAAGCAAAGTATTCGGTGGGCTAATTAGCTAGCACTGCAATGATGTAATCTACCTTGCTAGCTACCTACCTACAGTTTTGGATTTAGGGATAAAAAGAATATCTTTTACCTCACCTCAACCGATATATATTTTAAATTAGACAATTTGAACATCAACACACAAGTAATTCGATCCAACCCGATTAAAATGTGAGAAATTTAGTGTTTAGGGTTTTGAGTCGGATGCAGGTTTTACTCGCTTTTGAAATTGGTAAGTTGGGTTGGTTCCATCCGGCCCACACCCATAAAAACAAAGGACGTTATTTTGCATAATCAGAACAATATGAATAATTTGTGAATGTTGTCACTTATATAACGTAATATTGATAATTTGTGGATGTTAGTAGTTTTTTACGAATATACATTTGCAGGAATTTTTATTTTATAACATTACAATGTGGGTGTTCGAAGAAAGAATATATTGTTATACTCATGAACCCAAGGTACCCGTTGGGGTTGGGTTTTCACTTCTCTAAAATACAGTGGGTATTTTACTTAGTTTTTTTTTTTAAGTATAGAGAAACCCTACCCATTGTCATTTGTCAATCCCTAATTGCAACTAGTGGCGGATCTAGGGCCGGCCATCCCGAGCCACGGCCCAGGCCTCCTTCAATCCCGGACTAGTATAGTATGTATGAATTTTTTAATTTTTAGTGTTCGGCCTAGTAATATTTAAAAGTCGGTCCAATGTTATTTGAAAATATGATTTTGTGCAAATTGATAAATTGTCTAGATGAATATATCCAAACCTCTATACTAAATTTAGACTAAAAATTAAAGCCCCAATATTTTTCATTTGAAATGAATATAATAAACAATGAAACCTAAAAGCCTTACACGTAAAAGACTAAAAAAATGTAAAGTTTCATTGAAATAAAAAAAACACCCTATAAACTAAATCTCACACTTCTCTGAAGAATGATATACGATCAGTATGTCGCTCATGTGGTTCATAGTCATGAATATGAAGTTTCTTCCGTGGCAAAATTACTAGAGTAGCTAGTGGAAACAGAGTCGGATACACAATAAAAATTAATTTGGCGGTTGATTCGTCTAATGTTGACCTAACTCGCCTGAACGGCTGCTACGGAGATAACACTTTCTACAACGTAATATGTGAAAACTTATTTTACGCAACAAAATAAGCGATGAATTTCTCGCTGATTGCTTAACTATTTTCTTTGAGATAAGATTATATTATTGGTATGGATGAAGACTTCATGATCTGATGAATTCTCTCTAAAAATTTAAAAAATCGCCATGTATAGTTGACATTGTAATGAAAACTATATCCATCATTTCTTTTTTTGCTTACGGTATCTAATTTCCTATTCAAATGCGGCCTCGGTGCTCTACTCTGTCCTGAATCCGCCGCGCTGATTTGCAACCCACCTAGCTACTTCAAAAACGGTATTGCTCACCCATTTTTAGCTGCTACCTTTAAATGTGTGTTAGTGAGAGTCCATCCATATAAAGATCCCCCCAATCTTACTATAAGAATGGTGGGAAAAGGGGACTATTTCTTCGTTTGTTTCCGATATCAGTAGCAGTAGCAGCAGCAGCAGCAGAGTGAGAGTGAGCGATTGTGATTTGAGATTTGTGAGCATGGGATTGGGATGGGGTTTTTGACTGACTGCCAATCCCGCGTCCTGCTTTCCGCGTTAATTCCATCTTGCGCGTCCCAATCCCCGCCTTTTTTTAGTTCCTAGATTTATTTATTCGTAGTCCGCAGATTTCTTTCTTTTTTTTTAATAATTTGGAAAAGCAACGAATCTTTTTGTGGTTTTGTTTGTTTGTATTGTACCCATTTTTGCATTATCACTCTCCCATAGTTTTTTTTTCCCCCAGACATTTCCTTTGTTTTCTAGACAATGGCCCCCATGCTCTGTCCTTTATTAAAAAAAAAAGAAACAGTATTTTTAGGTTATTTTGACTATTCATCGACTTTTAGTCTAATTTAGTATTTTCTTCCCATGCGATCATGCATACGTTAGTGTGACCATAGAGGGTTTTGCTCCTACAACTTGACTAAACCTCGACCTCGATCTCCACGAAGGAGAAATTAATAGTAAATCACTTTTATTATATTTAATTTATAGAAATTGAAACTTGTCGCTCAAGTCAACCCTTGGTGGGTGTGCTGCTAATGCTAAGTTCGAGAAAAGGGAATATTCCTTTTTTTTTTTTTTACTAAGATTGAATCGAAGAGAGTGCACTCCCGTGGGCCGTGACAGTTTCGAAGACTTGTGTCTGCGTGAATCGTGGATGATTTTTATATGTACAATTTTATGGGGGAAAAATTATGGTACACGAAACCATATCGGATATAATAATGAAAAAGTCATCGGTATGACATTTTATGATATGATCATTTTCATCCCTGCAATTAATAAGCAATTTTTAAAGTAGGCCCGTATCGCCACATCACCAATCAAGCAAAAATCTCATTCAATAATTTCCAAACACCTACATCCCTAAAACCAATAAGCAATTGCCAATAGTGGACCCATACAATTTCTTACCACATAACAAAGAAAGAAAAAGTAATTGAAAAATAAAAGATATCCTAGGTGGCATTGCAAGATGAATTTCTTATTTAGCAATCTTGCTAAATAAGAAAACACTCCCACATCCTTGCAATTGCTTAAAAGTGGTGTCACCTAGGATCCTACTAAATAAGCAATAGGTATAAGCAATGGGATGGAGATGGTCTAAAACTCTGGTTTAATCTTAGTTCAACCGTTTGACCGTTAAATACCGTTTACCGATTTAGCCTCTGATACTGGTATTTCGTGGTTGAACTGGCGGTATGATACGATTTCATGGACCATGAAAAAAATCTCAAAAATACATTAGTTATTAAAAAAAATCCAAAATAAATTAGTTATAAAAAAATCACCGCAATGGTCCAAGAGAGTGAAATAAATCACCGCAATAGACAAAGACAGAATATATCACTGTTTTGATTAAAAACCGTGAACGCAGTGCAACAAAACGGTGAACCAATCACCGTGCTGGAAGCCAGTGAACCTATTCACCGCAATGGACTCTTGCAGTGATTTTATTGTCATCCACGTCATCAATCCGCGCCCCTAGTGGCGTAGCCGGGATTTTCTATATAGGGGGGGGGGGGGGAGGGTGCACCAACTAACAAAAGGTTAAAATTACTATCAATTTTTTATAGTGCCCCACGACGGGTTCTCGTATTTGAAAAGTCTGTACAATAAATTCATCATCTAGACTATCAAGAATGTCACTCTCAATGTATCCTAAAAAAACATTTGTGTTATCATCACTCATTCGACTACAAAGAGTGTTTTTCACGTATTTCATTTCCAAAAATACTCTTTCAACACTTGCAGTGGCGACTGGTAGCAGCAATGCTAACTTCACAAGAAGAAGAAGTTGTCGACCGCCAAAGGGAAACAAGAACGAAGGAAGATGAAGGGTGGGAGAAGTCTTGTTTGTTAGGACTAAAGTTCCAATTACTGCTTGAATAAGGATAAAATTATGAGTTTATTTAATTTAATTTACTTATTATTTGTAAACGGTAAAATAATAATACATACAATAAAATATATTATAATATCACCTAAGTAATTGTGATTTAATGGAAGATGCCAAATCTCATAACAAAGGGGTAACATGTTCAAATTCTAGCTACAACATAAACTAATACCCTTCTTTTTTGATGTTCTAGTCCCAATCCAAGGGTGTGCCATCAAATGAATGACAAAAATGAAACGAATTGACAATAATACGGATACGGAAGTTTTAAACGGATAAAATACGTATTGGTACATATACGTGTATTAAACAGAGTATTTACTAACTATGCTAACTACATGCTATCTCCGCCCCTGGCGCCCCCGCCCCTTCACCGCAGCCGTAGGATGCAGTGAGTCGCGGATTCTGATTTTCCTCCCAGATCTGACGCCTCATAGTGTCCCACGTCAGCGATCCACGCCAATTACCGCAATAAAGGAAGACGGGGAATTGACTGTAATCGACCGCAGCTGGGCCTTGACTGGCATCGACGGCTGTGGGGATTTCCCTGTCTCTCTCTCCACCAGGTTCTCCTCCTATAAATACCACCACTCCCCTCTCATCATTCCAAACCACACCACCATATAATTCTTCTTTCTCCCTCCATTCCTCCACTCTAGTTTCGTTCTAAGTTTGCTTTGTGGTTGCGTCTAAGTCCGATCTTTCGCATCAGAAAGAATTACTAGAGCTTTTTTACAACCCTCCGCCCTAAAACCCCGTCGTTACTCTCTCCAGCTTTCGCCAAAAAATGGACGAAGAGGCTTTGACGGTACATACTTTCTTTTCCTTTCGTGATTTATTTTTTAAATGGGTAGGTAGGAAATAATCTGATTTAATTCAAATTTTTTAATACATGGATACCGAGATATACGACCCTCGTTTGTATATCCATCCTGGCCCAAGGGATATGAGGTATTTAACCAAGCAAGAAACACATTGCTCCCCTGCAATTTGGCACAACATTCCGGTAGACACTCCGTACCGTATAAATTAGTAAATTATTTCAGTATTTTAAAAGTTTTTATTTTACTTTCCTTTGACTAGCAACTTCGTTTTTTTTTGTAGGAATCACTCCTTCCCGTCGGTCATCGAGGGACAACAAGATTGCCCGTTTGGCATGCTCGACTTTCGTTGTATCTAGAGAGGACGAGATTGTACATGGTGAGGCACTTTATGCGGATTGATATCGACAATGATTAGCTGACAGCAATGGCAGAGTGATGGCCTCCCGAAACACATACCTTCCACTTCCCCAAGGGGGAAATGACGATCACCCTCAAAGACGTTGTCATCCTCACCGGGTTGCCGGTCACTAGAGAGGCCATCATTGGCCTCTAGGGAAACCCCAAAGAAGGTTGGGATCGCTAATTCTCGAGCGTTTGGGTTCGACATGACGACATAAACTGAAGTCCAAGGATATGGGCATCCACCGCTAAATGCGGGGTAAGTATCGTTCATGTGGCTTGAACTACCACCCCATCCGTACCCCCCCTGCAAAACCATCATCATAAGAATACTGGTGAAAATGAGTTTCACCTACCGCCTCGGTATCGACATACACCTCTGCAAGCCGTCAGATAAGAATTGTATCATCATGGTAACCGCGTCATCATCATTTATAACAACTACTTCGTACATAACTCCGCATGCACTCATGTTTGGATACCGGTAAGTAATTTTACCAACTCTCGTCTGTCCACTCATACAAATCCTGTATGCACAAATGTCACGAAGTTCTTACCACGTGAATCTCGACTCAATTTTCATCATAGTGGATTCACCATCTTCATAATCGATCCCAATGTCGGAGTTTGTCACTCGACCATTCCACCGAATAATAAGCCGAAAATTCTTAAATTTACTCATGTATGCAATTTATAATAAGTAACTATTAGCTTAACTCGAATAAGATTAGTATAGTATAATTAGTACTTGGGGTTACACAAACAATATCTAACACCATATTTTTAAGGATACAAAAATAATATCATCCAAAATCATAAACAACCGCAACTAACTAATCGAAACATGGACCATAATTAGCATTACAATAACATGAGTATACCTTTGGCTACTAACGAGCCAAAGGTATACTCAAACACCCGACTTAGATTAGGTAGAATATTTTGTGCCTGTTGTTAAGCATACTACCGTCAGCCTTGTTACGTTCTTGCTTTAGATGCTATTAATAACTGGCACTTACATAAGTTAGACGTTAATACAACTTTCTTACATGGTGATTTAAATGAAGAAGTTTATATGAAAGTTGCACCTGCAGGTTTGGTTGTTTCGTTGAGTTTAAAAAATATGGTTGTCGTCTTAATAAATCTCTTTAAGGTTTGAAACAAACCAGTTGGCAATGGAACTCTAAACTGTTATCTTTCTTGTCGTCTGTTGGTTACAAACGGTCTAAGTCTGATTATTCCATGTTTGCTCGTAGTGTATATGTAGACGACATTATTATTGCTGGTAATGACATTGTTGCTATTAAGGATCCCAAAACTAGATTAGATCAAGCTTTTACCATAAAATATTCAAGTGAACTCAAATATTTTCTAGGACTTGAAATAGCTTGATATAACAATGCCATTTTACTGTACCAACATAACTTTACCTTAAGACTTATTTTTAGATTCTGGTCTTCTTAGAGCCGAACCTGCTGATTCACCCTCTACCCCTGGTTCCAAATTATCAACCAAGGATGTAGTATTTCTTTCTGATCCTAATGTCTACAAAAGATTAATTGGTTGATTGATATACTTGTGCAATACTTGACCTAACTTCACTCATTGTCCTACAAATATTCATATGTAGGATTCTAAGCGGGTACTTCAATAAATCAAAGGTACAACTGGCCAATGATTATTCTCTCTAAACATACTGATTTTGTTCTGCAATCCTTTTGTGACAGTGATTAACAATCTAATTAAGAATCAGAAAACTGTTTCTAGATTATCTTCGGAAGCGGAGTATAGATCCATGGACAACCTTACTTTTGAAATAATGTGGCTTCATTGTGTTTTATATGACTTACACGTTACTCTTTCTGCTCCTACTTCTGTGTATTTTGATACTTCATATGCTATTTGATTAGCTGATAAAACTATAAACCATGAACGAACAATACATATAGAGATCGACTGCCATGTTATTTGTGATCAGATTTTGAATGGAACGAGGTACTGTATGTTTCTGTTACTAATTAGTTCGGTGATATGTTTACAAAGTCTCAACAGCCAGTTTCTGTTTTTTTTTATAGCATTTGCAGGGTAAGCTGGTTCATCTTGACATCTACGCACCAACTTGCGAGGGTTTTTTCCCGAGGAAGCTATTACAAGGACCTAGATGAATTTTTTGTATAGATATAGGATAAATTTGTAACATTTATTTCATCCCAGTATTAAATAGAAATTTGATGTTGTTTATGTACATCTGTATTGTAGAGTTGTGGCTGTCGTATTCTCTCCTCATCTGAACTGAGCAATCTATCAAAGTGAGTTGGATCTAAAGTTGAGGGGCAAGCTTGGTAAAGTGGATAAATGGATGAAGATGAGGAGCAGAGAATCTTTGAATTTTGATCAGCGGAAGGAAAGGATTGATAAAAGGCAAAAAAAGTGGAAGGAAGGTGGTGTTGCTTGTTGGACAAAGGAAGTTAGGCATGCATCAGTACTTTCAAAACTTTAGGTTGGATAGTTCATCAGGAATCAAACCATGCATGCATGTAAACTAGCTGTGAAGGAATTGCTTCCATAGCTGGTTAATACCATAAAAAAAACCCAACTACAAACTAGTCATTCCACTTGAACTCGACTCTCGAAACGAGGTGAGCGATGCATAAGATCCTCCTGCTCGGCTCGATTTGACTCGACTCAACCCACCACCATCATGATGCAACAATATCATTGTGTAGGCAGGCAATAACAATTATGAGGCAGGATATGATGATGGGCCATTTGCGGGAAGCAAAGCTTGTTGTTGTTGTTGTTTGTATGAATGGATATTAGGGAGTATGGTGCGAATGTGAATATAATCTCATTGGCCACAGGGTCACAAATCATGTCCCCAAAAAAGATGGAAAAGAAAAAAGGGCTATGCAAAATATGTGGGGGACAACGCGGAAAGGTGAAATATGCAGAGCATATGATATGGGTGTGCCCACGGATGGATGGTATGATTTGTGAAAGTGGGAATTAGTTACCTTACGCCAAAAATGGGAGAAAAAGGTAGCCGTCCCTTGCATACCTATGTCTCTTGCTTTGGAGTTATAAGGTGATTGAGTGAGTGAGTGAGTTATGGCTAACCAAATTTCTCCATGCCCTCCCTTTCCTCTCCCCTTCCTTTGTCTTGCTATTCATTTCCTCCAATGGGTAGTTGGACGCAATTGTCATGATTCATATAGGATTGGGTTGGACCCGAGTTATATTTAGTGTTAATAATTTTGGGTTTGACTTTGAGTTTGGATTGAGTCAATATGGATCAATCTGTTAGAATGTGGTATAAGATCCAGCAGAACCTTCTCCCAACAATTCGAGTTATTGGGAGCAACTGGTTCTTGACATGGTATCAGAGCCTTCTGTGACCGAAAGGTCTTGTCTTCGATTCCCGATGACCCCCATTTGTTAAGCACATGGTATTCTTGTCTTCAGATCTGTGCAAATTTCAAGCTCTTGTGAGTGGTTTTCGTTTGAGGGGGTGTGTTAGTGTTATGGTATATAATCCACGATTGAACCTCTCCCAACAACTCGAGTTATTGGGACTAACTGGTTTATGACAATTGGCACTAACTGGTTTATGATATGGTATCAGAGCCTCGAACCAAAAGGTCATGTGTTCGAATCTCCACGACCCCCAATATTAACCGTTGTCTTTCAAGCACATGGTATGGTGGGTCTGTGCAAACTTCAAGCCCATGGTTTGACTTTCGTTTGAGGGGGCGTGTTAGAATGTGGTATAAGATCCAGCAGAACCTTCTCCCAACAACTCGAGTTATTGGGATCAACTGGTTCTTGACACAATCTACTTGAGCCTAATTTAAATGGGTCTTTAGGGTATGTATAATGATACATATAAAAAAAATATAGTTCATCTAACTATTCGTCTTAAACCAATTCACACCTTTAATGTTGGTGTTTCCACATTTATGTTTTTTTTAGAATAGTGAAAAAAGAAAAAATCTTATTAGAGTTGGGTATTTGTTTTATTTTGGATAGAGATGGGCATTGGGCGGGTCACTCACCGAACCCGCCCAAATCCACCCGCTAAAACCCGACCCACCACAGTATGGGTTGATATGGTGGATGGATGTGGGTTGCTTCTCGTCTAACGCATCAAAATATGATTTTGGGTGTGAGTTGAACCCGCCAAACCCGCCACCCACCCATAATCGACACTAAATCTCTAAAACACCTCATCGAAAATGATTATTTCCCGAATCTCCTTTATACTTCTTTCCAAAATTTGATCTTTTGATTCTAATTTCTAACCAACAATGATTCTCCCAAAATTCCCACGATGCATATCCTAATTAGTCTTTCTTTCCAATTCCCTCTCTTTACTATTTTTCAATTAAGCTTATATGGTTTTTGAAGAGTTTTTCCCTGACTTTCTCTTTTCTCAATCAGACAGATGTTTTGTTATGGATTTATTTTGATTCATGTTTGGTTATTCATTCTTATATTCAAATTTATCAAAACTGCATTCATCCATACAATCCTCCGGTAACTCGCGTCAAATCGACCCAACACTAATATTGGACTGAGTGTGGGTCATGATTAAGTTCATCCGCTTAGTTATGGATGAGAGAAATTTTGCTCAAAACCCGCCCAACCCTCCCAATGTCCATCCTAGTTTTGGGTAGTCAATGTAATGGGTCTAATTTAGACCCGAACTAAATGATTGGGTTTGGCCGTATGCGTATGGCCCATAAGATAATATTACGTTACCCAATCTTGTTTGACCTATAATAAATTAGGTTTGGTAAATCGTGAGTCCTTTTTACCATCCTATACACAATCACTTCTTTCACACTCAAACTTTATCCACAATTGCGATAGGAGACAAGTGTATTTTGATGCTCATACTTTTGTTTTATCTATCACACTCGAAACATGAGTATGGTTAGGTAATCTTAATCGAGATAATGAGTTGCTTTGTAATTTTCATCGCCTGAGAATACTGCTATTGGATAAAAAGGGTTATAAAGTAGACACCATCAGGTTATTCAAGAAAAATGGCAGTTTCAGAAATACAAAGAATATTATATTTCACACATGAAGAGGGAAATGGGAACCGCCAATTAATTAAGGGCGGCCGCCACTCCGCCGTGCCCGGCCGATGAGGTGGTGGCGCCGCCGGCCGGCCAGCTCTGCCCCATTCCCACGTGGCCCTCTGCTCCCTCTCTCTACTCAGACTCGCACGTGCTGCGGTGCTGCTGCTACTTCCCTCTCCTTGACCTTTTTTTCGTTGCTTCAATAGTTTGAACTTTTTTCAATCATCCATAATATAATCATATATTTGGAAAAACTTGATAAATGGAAATAGATTTGTAATTGAATTTTCTTTTTTAAGAATATCACTATCTTTACCAAACAATTATTCATGATTTAATTAGTCGTTTGTTTTCGAATGGTGTTCTTTGTCAATAACCATTTAGTATCAACAACTCATTAGTCGTTTGTTTCCGAATGGTGTTCGTTGTCAATAACCATTTAGTATCAACAACTCGAGTTGTTGTGAGAGGTTCAATAATGAATCTTATTTCATTTACAAAAATACCCCTCAACTGAATGCCGACTTACATGGCCTGAAAGTTTGCACAACTCCGAATACCATGTGCTTAACAAATGGGGACGCCAAGATTCGAACACGGGACCTATCGGTCAGTCATTCCCAAATTAATTACGCCCTATTTTCATTCTCAATTAACTACTATACCTAATTTACCCATTTTCCACGAGGACAACCCTGTTACATTCTTCCTTTACCCCTGGTTGATACAATTTAACTTGACGGAAAATTTGGCGTTGATATTGATTTAGTACACCATTTATTTTGGGTATATCATATGCGCCATTGTCATATATACGTAGCTCGTTATACTTTTTTTTGAATATGTCAAAAATTAAAAAAAATTAAAATCATACATAAAATATTTGTTAGATGTTCAACTATCCACAATTTGACACACCCAAAATTTTATTATCAACTAAATATTATACATAATTTATCAATTTTCTCTCGAGTCGGAGTGAATCACGAACAAAACTCTATTGCATCCTCCCTTCGTCCTGTCGGAAGGTTAGGCACCTCTTCTTGACTTGATAGCAACATTTCTTGCACCGCAAAAGCATATACCCTCGTTATGGATTCCAGAACAGTATTTGGGCCTCCGATCCACTGGACTCATATATTTATTTTAGGAGGGAATCACGTTCCAGCAGGTAGCAGCTCCCGACTTTTCTGTTCGTCGAAATTGAATCAGAAGTCTTTTTACATGTTTGGGCCCATCGGTTAACATTTTCTTTGCCGGTAGGATACGATCACCAAGTTACTTCGTAAACAACTGGATTTCGTATTGGACTGCGTTGCGGTCGGCCCACCGTGTTGATACCAATTAAGATTGGGCCCTCAATATTATCAACATCAATTCACATTCCGGGATCCTCATCAGTTAATGAGATGGAAATGCATCGGATTCGGCGGATTTCTCCAAACTCAAAACTCTTTCCAATAGGTATAAAAAAAAATCCAATAAAATATTTATTGAATTTTAGAAAATAAACGAATGTCAATTTAACGGGTACTCGCATGTGCATGAGTACTCATGAATTCACGAGTTTAACTGCACATTATTTCTTGGAACACTCGCATTATAATATTATCAGAGATACCCCTAAATATATATTTATACAATGACTAATAAAATCCATGAATTATACATATCATTAGAACTATAATGATATAAAAACTAAGGTCATCCATAAATTATTCATATAGTTAAGATTAGACATAAAGTGATGTCGTATTGCTTTCTAACTTCTATGTGCGGGTTGTGGGGTAACGGGTTCGATTGTAACATAAACCAAAAAGCCCACCAATTTTAAAAGCGAGTAAAACCCACACCCGACACGCAACCCATCAATACTTAATTTACCACCTCTATCCAGGTCATTCAGGTTTATCAATGGTAAACCGTCATCCCAATCCCAAGTGGTTCTTCATCGGCCAAATT